TCCAGTTTGACAGCTTACATCATCAAATGCATGTGGATGCTCAGTCTCAAAAGTTAAACAGTAACCTTTGAGCAAATGAATCAACCAGGAACTGAAAGCCCTCAGTTGTAAATAATGGCTAACTGCGTACATGCAAAATTGGGAGCTGTATAAAAGCTGTGTCTGAGTTTTAAAACTTGCAGGAGCAGGAACTAATATTGCTTGGGATGTGCATTGGATGAATTATCTGGAAAATATATGTACATGTACCAGGTAGGACATGTACATACTTTGAGATAATTCTCCTCATCGGAGGTTAGATATAAATGAAGGCTCTTGGAGTGTACATTTGTTAGCAAATCTGCATTTTGCACACTGGCATATCTTATATAGGGATTACTGTGTACGGACATGTAGCTTGCGCGATGCATGTAAGTGTAGAAGCAAGTTCCCTCAAGTGTTTTTACAGTGAGGAGGTGTTCACTGTGGCTCACGTATAGTGTACGCCGCACTGCTTGAGAAACGTTCAGAATGGTGATGAAGTGCCCGTCACAGGCATCACTGTTAAGATTTGTTTTGATTGTCTAGCCCTACCGTACCATACACCCTTGTACATACATGGTATGTACATGCACATGTACACTAGTTTTTGTATTTTATTGACTGGCATAGCCAGTCGATGAAAACTCCAACTGTATGTAGTGTTTGCTTGGTTAATAAGAAAAATGATCCCTGTTTGCTCATTCACTGCATGTAAAAACAGGAGTGGGGACGTCAATCAAAGAAAGGAAGAAAGAAAAAGCCGAAAAGGAGAAAAAATAGAAAACCAAACCCCAAATGCCAGAAATGCACAGTTCAGGGTTGGAATAAAATAGCAGTTGTACATTTACATACAGGTACACCAGATGGCATTTGCTTTGCTTTCCATAGAGAAACAGTGAGTCATTAAAAAGAACTGCTTTACCTTGACCTAAAAGAAGCCAAAGACTTCAAGTGGCTAAGAAACATTGAACTTTAAGGGAGGAGGCGAGCAGTTACAGGACAATCCCAAGGGGATCAAACGGTGTGGTGATTGGCAGCAGCTGAGACAGTCTAATCGTGACTTTGCTTGAAATGTTGGCCAAAAAAAAGCAGTGTCAATTCAGTCTTCAGCAGCTGCTTTAAATGTCAGCTTTTGTAGCCAGTAATCCTGTTGTGTACATTTGTACAATGGCCGCCGTGGTGCCTCTGCTATTACTGGAGACACTGTGAGTGTGTACTGATTTCGTGCCCGGATAAGATCTATGAAAGTGAAGAACAACATTGACTTTCGTGATGAGAAATTCCTGGGAAACTCATTGATGAAGGGCCTGTTTGTTTCATGCCGATCTGGTTAGCAATTAGTAATCCCAAAGCCGGTACATTCTATCCATTAGGTGGGTTTGGTGTCAGTGAACCAGCGTCGGATCACTGATCCCAATCCCGATCCTGATCCTTTTGAAACAAACAGGCGCAGAGACTCTTTAACCAGGTTCCCACAATTGCCTGGTACATGATTAATGAGTCAGGAACACGGAGGCTGGCAAAAGGAATCCTCCAAAAAAAATGGGAAAATGATAACCATACATTTTCCTAGAGATATAAAAAAATTGTCTTGGCTGATACCTACCAGGTCCAGCCTCTTCCATTAACTTCCCCTGCCCTGCAATCCTGCTTTACATCCAGGAATCTAACTAAGTGAGTGATCCATCAAATTGCTCTCAGATGGATGCATTGACTCCAGCCTAACCCAACTCAGATCATCAGCTTAACAATCTCCTTGCCTACATTGGAGACAGCTCGTCTGGGAACAGTTATCTGTGGTGAATGCAACATATTCCATAAGGGACGAAATCCCCAAACAGAGCTTTTTAACGAGATGGAAACTCTCAAGCTGTAGATCTACATTGCTTGGGTCATGAATCACATTCACTCTTTGATATCGCTTACAGTGATATTAGTGTGTTGACAGTCGCTGGTTCTTTTGGGGAAATAAGTATGTCTCATCCTGTACAAATGATGTGGGAGAACTTGGGGTGGGAGTCGTCACCCTTTATATGATACGTGTACGTTCGCAAGCTTTTGGTCTCATGCATTATATAGGGCATTTAATTACTTTTATCCCATTTTTTTTCCTGAAATGATTTGTTTGTGAGAACATTGTTTTTGTCTTAAAATACGCTGAGAGAGAAATAAGCATTTTTAAAGAAGTAACTTTGTGTGGTAAACTCACAGTGAAAAACTTAACTCTATGGCCTTGCAGTTTACTGAACAAATCCTTGAAAGTGTACCTCTGTGAGCATTTCTCCGGGGACACCTTAAAACAAAAAGAAAGACTCGTCTGTGCGTATTCATTATTGATGCATACATTATTTTTACCAACAAAAACTCAAGTGAGGATGTCTCTCAAGTCTTTTGTTATTTTCTCTTGTTTTGGGGGGTTTGAGTTCACACATCGTCATCGGTTTATGCATCACAGGGCAAGTGTGAACATGATGCTGGCTGATGCTTCAGTTTATTGAGCAAAGATGAAATGGCAAACGTGCAGTGCATGTTCAGCTAGCTTCACCTCATTAAAAAAAAATTTTTTTTCCCCGAAAGGTTTAATGAGGAGACAGATGGAATCTTCCATCGCATTGGTCAAAGCCAAGTGGAGTGAAGCATTTTGTCTGCCACATCATGGAATTATTACTTCCGGTTGCATGAGAGTGAAGCACTCTTTTATTTGTTCCATATAGTGCCCGAATAAATCCTCAGTAAATCCCTGCCTCATCAGAGCGTCATCAATGAGTTCAACATTATCTTGTGACCCTACACGTACACGTACACATGTACATGTACATCTACATGTATGGTACTTGTGGAAAAGAACATGTGTCTCAGTGGCATGGCCATGCCTTGCATTCATACATGTACCAGTACATGTAGGCACTGTTACACGTCTATGACACACGAATGACCCACCAATCAGATGATGGAGATCTATTCAGACATTTTAATGTGGGAAGTACAAGTACTGTTGGGGCGGCTGACGTGTATAACTGAAGATCATTCCACACGAACACTTATAAATGTATGTACATGTATGTACTGTAATTTGAAGGACAATGAGACTTCTTGTGAAACTGGAAAATAGAATGTTATAAACACCTGGTTCTACCGGTACTTGTAACACAATGTCCTGGGCAGATTTTTACTGATGCTTATCTGTGGATAGTTCTTGGGAGAAAAGGAAATGTAAGGCATCAATTCCAAGTGTCTGACAAATCTAGCACGATAAAGATCATCCATTGACCAGAAAATGATCAATATGGCAAGAGGGATGGCTTGGTCAAGGTTTTGACAAAGTGTTTGTGCCACTGTGCATCAATCAAAGGTGGAGCTAAAACCACTTTTTTGGGGGGGGAACCAGATTTTTTTTGGGGGGGGCAAAAGGTTTTGTGAAGTTTATTATGTACATCTATTATTGGCATTTAGTAAGGGGAATGCAGTGTGCCTTTTCTTTTATTGTTAGAAAAGTGATCTCTCGGGAGGACCATGGCTCCTTTTGCCTCCCCCCATCTGCCAATGCTGTAGTATAACTGAGATTTCTGGATAGTGTTCATGTAATATAACAAACAGTTCTATAGTGAAACTGATAACTGCCAAGGGAAAGCATACTCCATGGAGGTATAGAATGAGTGATTTTTGGACTGGAATAGAGATAATGTACATCTACAGTGTACATGTAACCAGTACATTGGCGCAGTGTAGGTTCACCAGATTGATTATACAATAAGATGATTTTTCATAATCAGGGTGGGGACCCCATGGGTTCTAAATTACATGTATTAGTAGGCAAGTGAGATTTGCTGGCAGGTTTTTTGTAAAGCCTTGTTTATCACACAGTCTGCCTCCACAATTGGTCACAGTGTTTGAGTACGAAATCATTAACTTTGGAAAAGAAAAAACCCAACAGAAGTGCATGTCAGGAGACTTATCCAAGCGTTGCTTCTGTAAATTACCATGATGAGTGCTTTCCAGCATGTGTACATTGGCACAGGACATTGAGTGCTCCACAACATTAAGAAGTTTAATGGGTAACCAAATTGCCTTTTTTTGGTAACAGTTTGGCTTTTTGGAATAGGACTAAAAGTAGGCAAAAAAGTCATCAACATTGTTCATAAGGTAATTTTGGCCTTCGTTGGCCCATCAGTGACAGTCCATATCCTTGACTTAGTGACTAAATTGGCATTTAAATGCTCCTCCTCTTGATGCAGGGCTGTATTTAGCAGTCAAACGGTTCGCTATGTGAGTTGCAGCTTGCTACGGGCGTGTGGCGTAATACTTGTTAACGTGAGAGCACTTTGTTGACAGTACGTGTAATGGCTTGATGGGTAGCGCCAGCCACTTACTGTTTCAAAATGAAGACCCACCTCTAAACTGCATGTGATCGATTTCCAACAGATAATACCCACAAAAGCACAGCGTGCAAATTTGAACAGTAGTGTTGCTGTTTTATTCCTAACATATGGTGGTTTTTTTTTGGTCATCCAAATCGTAATCTAGAGGTTTGTGGTTGCAGAGATCTTCTCACTCTCATGCACAGACAAGTTAGTTTATTTATTTACAGTTAACAAATTTGAGAAAAGCAGATACTAACAAAACAACTACACCCACTGTCCTCAATACACGCTATAAAAAGGTTTGTTTATTTATTCATTTGTAGATGTCTGTCTGCTTCCCATTTGACAGCACGACCCCGAGATTGTCCACGGGTTGTTTGCTTTTGGAAAGGCTTCTAAGTTAATGTGTTAGTAATGCAAGGCTAACTGTGTGTATCCCAGTCAACCACTCCACTTTGATATGAATGTAAATATTGATAACCTCACCCGGTGTGGGTTTGGTGTGCTGACCTGTCTTTACATGGGGAATTTCAATAGCCTTTGTTGTCTGTCATCTTTTGTTGATGTCACGCTAGCAGTCGGGTATAAAGGCAGTACACAATTTCACCCTTGGAAAAAGAAAATTTGTGTGTTCTCAAGTTCACCCGGATCCCCCAAGAATTTGGGCAGTGGAGGAAAAGTTCTGTTTGCCTCTTTCACGAATTGACTTGGAATCGAAAGCAAGACATTCCCGATTGAAAATATTTCTTTTAGATGTGCGCGTCGGAATAAAGGAGGCACACGCACATGTGTGTGTCTTTGCAGAGGAAATTATCTTGAAAAGTTGAAAGAAAATAGTCTGGAACACTGTGTATCCAACGTTGAGGGTCCGTGTACATGTATAACTCATACATGTACAGTGTGCATGTACGATTACTTGTTACCAGGTTGTGGCAACTTCAATTTGTACACGTGTTGAAATATAGTTTTTTGAAGACCAAAAATGACACAAAGATAAAGTTTTGCCCCCACATCACAACTCACGAACTGTTCCCCCCTAACATGGGGGAAGGCTTACCCGCATCACGTCCACATGCGATTGTGTGTGTTCAGTTATTTGTGTCCCAGGCTGTGTGTTGCCAACTAGTGTCAAAGTGTTTTTGGGTCGGTGCCTCTAGGACTATCAGGGATGCCTGAAAATTGACAGATTGCCTCTTGAATCACAGCTGATTCCTTTGGTCCGCTGTACCCTGCGGGCCCTCTGGAGGTGCTTGTCCGCTTCTTAAAAGAATAAACTGCCTGCTTCTTCAAGAGGAAGGACTGTCACCAACTGGTGTGCCACTTTTCCTTCCTTTCCTTAAAAGCCATTCAGATGTCATTAGGATTAAACTGGTTGGATTAAATTAACATTTTTGAAATAGATGTGTTGATTCTGATCAATTTCATAGATGTGCATTGAATATAACGTCACATACATGTACATGCCCATAATGCATAGCCATTTAACTCATGTCAAATGAATTCAGGGCCACAAAAAGGTTTGGGGTCATTGAAGTTCCTCTACTTCAATGTTCAAATTGGCATATACATGTATGTAATTGTAATTACATTGTGCTTGTTATGCTAAGAGCCATGGATCAGATGAAGCTCATTTTGTTTTCATGATGCCTTAAATTAATAGGAACCACCCAAACACAAACAACCTTAACTACACAACAACAGAAGTTGCCCTTTGTTTGACACCATAGGATTCTGTAGGTTTGGGGACAATGTTCCATTGCCTTGTGATTGATATCAAGGATGTTATTGCATGGATATTGTTGCAGTAAAAGGGGAGGGGGGGTGTAGGCCAACCCTTCCCTTTCTAAACATCCCAAAGGATATTGGTTAGTCATTGGTGAAACCGAAGGCAAAGCCAGGATTTCCACTTGTATTCTCCAACCTCGCAACATGGTGCCCATGTTGGAACTTGGACTCATTTAAGTCTAGTTTCTGGATCCCAGTATATATTATTTTTCCACCTGTGCTGCTTCAATTCCATGACTTCCAGCCGACATCAACAACATGCAACCCTTAGTGTTTGCATTTCCATGGATGGACCTCAAGAGGTTGGCTGGTTGGTCAAGGCTGGACTCATTAATGGTGTAACTGCGGATATATGTACAAGGCGGAGGTGCATGTACTATAAACACACATACCATTACCACATGGAAAGATCTCAAGCGTGGAACATCAAGGATCTGAGAGTCAGCGCACATGGTTAAAACAGATGTGATGTTCAGTGTTACGGTACATGTTCATGCACAGTACCTGTGCATGGGTTTATAGAAGTATGAATCTCAACATGTAAGCGTGCAGGGTTTTTTTTTTTGGAAATGCAGTAATGGATAGGGAAATGAATTTACATGAGCTTTAAATTATGCAGTTGGTGTTTGTTGGTCAGTCTGTTGTCGCCCGCTGACGAGCAAAATAATAGTGTACTGCATGAGTGTAGGATACATAACGGGTGCATGTACACTACATGAACATGTACATTTATGTAATTCCATGTATCATCTGGAGTATCCTCAGCAAGGCTTAGGTACATGGACGGTACATTGTACTCGTAGGCCTACTTGTGTGTGTGTGGGGAGGGTTTGGTCAGATAGTTCTGCTTCAGCCTGTCAATTCAGCACTACCACTTCAAATCAGGGCACAGTCCAAAGAAACTGCCCTGTATTTGAGTCCTATTAGGAAACCTTGCCACTTAGATATGGAGTTCACCTGCTTTGCGACAAATTTGGTGGCTGTCCTGCAGTATAATTAGAAACCCATGAATGCCATTAAATGACTTAATTGGAAATATTCACCAAGGGAAACTTCATGTATGCAAGCTGGTCTAAATGTTATGCATGTGTTGGAAAACTCCCCTTGGGAGATGTATACAGAAGATAGTTTTGTAGGCTGATGCTTTGGCGAAATATCGATTGTAGTTGATTCCGGTATTGAGTTTCTTCTGCCATTCACATAATCTTCAGAGCCTTGATCGAGAACCCAAGAAGCTAAATTTGGTTGGGATTTGAAAGCTGAAGCCCCATCGAAAGCCATTTTCGTGTATACAAGCCGAAATGAGTACCGAAACTCAACTTCACACTTCCTGCTCTCCTATCATGCGCGCTGTACATGCAGGCCTACAGGCACATGTACATGTGCAGTAGCTGCGCAGTGAATGCAGTGTGTTCATCGGTAGGTGTAAAAGTCCTGACTCCTCTCATTTTCAGAGGGGTTTGCACGCACCCTAGGACTTAGGGTTAAGCCTAGCCTCGGAAGTGGAATGGGTGTGACTCAAACCATGGTCCAAAGTACACGAATCATGTAAATCTCACTATCCCTTCCATCACTCCTCAAGCAGTGGACCTATCGCAGTAACATTGCATCAGTGCAGTTTATTAAATAACGTACAGTATCGTCCACTGGACATGATTTACACAAAATGGACATCCCAGACAAACAAAACTCATTGCACAAAAGTCCCTAGGGTTGTCTAAGGGGCATGATAACTTGCAAATGTCACTGTCAGTTCCCTTGTCTCTTGGAATACGACTCTTTCTCACAACCTGTCATTGGCGTATTCTTTGCCAATTTATCTGTTTTGGCCCTGTTTGGCCCTTTTCCCTTTCTCCTTTATAGTTGGTTGGAGACCCTCTCAGAGTACCCCGAAATCAACAAGGAGAATGAGCGACTCAAGCAACGGCAGCAGAAACTTGCTGCGCAGCATGCGGCAAGAGAGGTTAGTAGTTGTGACTAAATTCCACAAAATGACCCTCAAAACCATTGCATTCAATAACTTTGTTATTCTTCTCTGATGCATCACTGAGTGTAGCATCCTGATAAAGTGGATATTATGTGGGTGACAGATGGTGGGTTCCTATTGGTTTGTGCCACAAATAGAATATAGAATAAAACAAGACTTGATTGGCTGCACATGCATATATGCAATCTTGCCTGGAGCGTCACATGCTGAAGGAAAGATGCAGACAGTTTGCTCCAACCATGACGAACTCAAGTCGCATCCAAATTGGAAAGTGGCACTAACACTCCAGCGTGTGTTTGGTACACATTGTATATGCTCATTTCAGTAGCTTTGCACATACAGTAAACTCTCAATAACTCAAAGTTGGTTAACTCGAAACTCCGCTTACCTTGAAGGCATTCTTCATTCCTGCCAAAAGAACAGGCTTATGTACAAAAACACCTCCGTAACTCGAAATGCCCACACCACTACGTCCGCTTAAGTTTAAGCCTAGGGGACATGTGGCCTAGCGGTTATGGTTTGTAGCTTCTGATCATAGGGTCAGGGGTTCGAATCCAGCTGGTGGCAGCATGTTGTGATCATGGGTAAGTCAATTTACCCCTATGTGCCTCTCACCACCCAGGAGTAAACGGGTACCTGTGAGGGCAGATTTGGTTATGTTAGCCGTGTGCCCCTGATAGGGCAGCATCAGCTAGTATGCTCCTGAGGGAGCTGAGATGGTTTCAGGAATGTTCAGTTGTTATGAGCCCAACGTGCAGGGAATAATGATGGGCCTTGAGCACCTAGCAGGGTGGATACGTGTGCAATATAAATCTTAATTATCATTATTATAGTTATTATATTTTCCAAAATAGGTCACTTGGGAGACATTTTATGGTAAATTTTTTGTCATTAGGGAGACATTTCAATGCACAGGGCTGTGCACTTCACGCCGCGGTGTTACACTTTTTTTGTGACAATTCTTCCATTTGACACACTGTGTGTCAAACGGAAGAATTGTTACAAAAAAGTACACAGTTTTGATGGTTTATGTTTAGGGCTGTGCCGAATATCCAAGTACCTGAATATTTGATCCATTATCGAATATATGAGAATATCATTTTTCGAATTAGAATAATCAAATGCAAAATTCATGAAAAGGAAGTGAAAATTTTCTTTTGTTTTAAATGAGAAAAATTGCTCTATGGAGGTTTGTATCGAAGCAGATTCAAATGAAAAGCGATAGAAATCCTACAATTCAAGAAGTACCGGCAAATTATTCATTAACCTATTTAAAAGGAATAGAGATTTTCAACAGGGCTAGAAATATTGTTCATCTCCTAATTAAAATCTTGCTAAATCATGACTGGAGATACTCCTAGCTTTGAGAAGCTATTATAATGTACAATTGTGTGCATTAATGCAACTGATTTTGTATATGTTTTTTTCATCCATAATCTGCGGGTTGGTATGACAGAATATTCGGATAATCGATCAAATTGAAAGTCTAATATTCAAAAAGCGAATTATTAGAATTGACCCAGACCTATTTATGTTTTATTTATCAGTAGAATTGAAAATTTTACACTGTAAAAACTTCCCATCTCAGCAAACTAATGATTTTTAGAAGAAATTTATTCTTGGATATAAGGAAATAACCATTTATAATGTCTCCAATAGCCACCGCAGGGGCAAGTAAGGTTACTTGTGCACTGTATGTGGAACTTTCATTAGCTTGAAATCCGGATAACTCAAATTTTTTATCCATTCCCCTGAGGTTCGAGCTATTTAGAGTTTACTTTATAAAGCTTGGTCATATGCTGAAGGAGAGAGAGACATTTGGCAGTATACTTTAAATGATATTTGTACATCCATGAGAGACCATAAAAGTGGTGCACCGTCATCACACTGTGAATGGGCGTGTATTTCACATGTTGCCAATCTGCTTTTTTCTTTTAAATTCTGTATCTGTGAGTACAGTGTGCAAGCTTCTTCCGAAAGCTTTGACCTCAAAAGTGGCCGTGGTAACTTACATTGCTAGGTTGGGTAACATTTGAGAAGTGCACCCTCTTTAATTAATGGCTTCCCTGCAGAAGTCTATTGGTGCCAGGCAGAATGAGGGATGAGTTTTACACCCCAGATTAACTCCGAAGTCTCCTTGATTACTCAACCTAAAAAATCGGACTTATTCTACTGCGGGCCATTCCCGTCAGTATTTCTGGGTTGGCAATGTAACTTGATGAAATTGCAGTTTCTTCATGATTATTAAACTTGCAAATGGTATGGACAGAATGCACTCAAATTACTGGTCTAAACAAGCCCTGTTCCGTGCAATTGTACACAATTACCCCCCCAATTGTTTTCTACATTGTGTAAATTGATCCAGTTAATGGATACTGCAGTTTGAATCTTTCATAAGTAAATTTAATGTTTTTATGATTTGGTACGTGTAACTTGAGTATGCAGTCTTGTCTGCCGAAGGCTCGTTGTAGCGCCCTCTTGCATTGTGCACAAGGCATATAGTATCACGTTGAAACATTGCGATTGGAGGCCAATCGAAGCAATCCCACATACACAAGGCAGCCCTGCACCTGTGCCTCAGGGCACCCTTTTTATATTCTGTGGTTCTCATATCATTTTTCAATTGAGGGAGGGTCCGTTGGTGGGAAAAAAAAAACATTCCTCAAAAAAAAGAATCCATGCTGCTGCCATATACGTAGATGACTGAATAAACCAGGCAAAGTGGGCTATTTATACATGTGACTTGTTTTTATATTGAGTGCCATTAGTGTCTTTGTTTCTAGCTGGGAGTACAGAGAAATATTTTTATTAGTACACAACACAATGCACAATACATGTACATGTACCTGGTGTCAAGCATCAGCCACACATAACCCGTCAGCTGTGATCAGACCAATTGCAGGTTGATGTCAGCCATCCTTTGAATGGGCCGCTGGCAGGGAAGGATTCATTTTCGCTATGGTCAAATTTACTCTCCAGGCAGATGAGGCCAATTTGATAAGTGATCATTTATCATCTACTGGTCAGATTTGGCTGGTACTCTGGACATATTTTTGCATAGGTTAGCATAAGTCAACCAGTGGATAACAAATGGTCACATAGAGAACTTGGCCTGTGAGGACTTTGGTGCATCTTCACTCTTCGTCTTACTCTCATGATTTTTATTAAAGAAAATTAAAATCCCTTGTGTCCATCAGGTGAAGGATGTAATAGAAAAAAATCATCAGTTCTCAAAATATGCTTAACAACTTGACGGAAATGATAACAGTGTTTGTTGCATTGATCAGATAAGAGATTCCATTTACTCCTGTGCAAGCGCTATGAAATGTGCATCAAAATTAATTTCGGAGAAAAACAGCTGGGAATTTTTTGGTTCATGCACAGAGGGCATCTAGAGTCCTCATAGAATGTTCAACATGACAGGTTGTGTCATGGAAGGCTGGGCTCCTTGACCTTTTCCTGGAGCCACATGATTGAAAAACGTGCCAAGGATCCTTGCGCAGCACTTTATGAACCCGCGGCAAATTAAAAGCAACATTCATCAAAGTGGTCTCAGCATGAGGAGACAGTTACTTCAGGAGTTTGCGTTGTGGACTGGATTGATATGTTATCTAAAAATAAAGAACTACTGTCCAGATTACTTGTAAAGTTGGCAGTTGCAACGTGAGAACTGACCTTTTGACACTTATATCATTTTATTGGCTGAGGATGAAAAGTGCACTCAAGTTTGGTGCCACTCCGGGAAAGCTTTGTATGTACATGTACCTGTAGTCTGAATTTGACAGATGGTGCTTGAATTTCTCTCTCTTTTTTTTTTTTAAATGAAGTGAGTGAAATTCTTCACATGAGTTTAGAGCTTTTAATGACACCCATTTCTCTACAGAAGTTAGAATCCCTGGCATTATTGGTTGTTTGCATAGAAAAAACGTGTCAGGGTGGTTTGGAGTGTACATTTGTAATTGAAATATTCTGGATTTATTTGGACAAATTGACCTTAAGCTGATGTTGGAAAAAGCAGAATTGACAGAAATTCCCGGTGCTGCTTCTTTTTCATTTTCAAAATTGATGATCACATACATGTAAGCAGTGCAAATCATTCAAGTCTGAGAAATATGTGTGAGCAATTTATCACTGATTTTTTTTTGTTTTCATTCGTGGTCATCCGCATCTTGCTGTGAAATAAGAAATGAGTGCAATCAAATCTTGAAAAAAAAGAGAGGCAGGATTCTGCCAGATTGCTTTGCTGGAGTATTGTGCCTGCTGCTATCCCATCCATCATCATCAGGCACTCTGCATGCAGGAAACCTGAAGAATGTCAAATCCTGCCTGATTACTTGCAGTATTACATATCCAGCTGTGCTGATTGCTGATATCACAGGGGTGTGATGTTATCTGCAGGGATGGGAGTCTTCCTGCAATAGGCTGATCTCAGCCTTCCCCCCCCCTCGTTTTTCTTTGTACCTAAACTTTCAGGCAAAAAAGTCTAATCCCACGTAAAGCTTTCTGTCTGTATCAGGCGTGGATAGGATGCCTCAAGTAGAAAGATTAAAACCTGTTAGTTTAATAACAAACAAACGAACAAGAAATAAAATTATGACATGGACCCCGAACAAAAGAGCAGTTAGCATTGTTAATTAATTACAGGTACTTAAAAAGCATCACGTGCTTTCTCCTGCTTTGTGCTAAAAACTAATTTTCCAGCCATTTTATGGTGTTGATGTGGTTTAAATCGAAAGAATTAGAAGATGTTCATATTGAAAGTAGGACCGTGCGGAATATCAGAATATTCAATTGATTATCGAATATTCGAATGGTGTTTTTTGAACTTGAATATTCAAATACAAAATTCATGAAAAAGAAGGGAGAACTTTCTGTAGTTTTTAAATGAGAAAAATCGCACTATGGAGGCTTGTTTCAAGCAGATTCAATTGAAAAGCGACAGAATAATATACAGATATCTTCAACAATTCAAAAAGTAAATTATTAAAAACTTTGAAAGGAAAGGAAATTTTCAACTGGGCAAGAAGTCTTGTTTGTCTGTTAATTAAATCTTACTAAATTGCAGTGGGAGATACATGTAGAAGTGAGAAGCCTGCTGATGGCTGGTAAAACTACATGAATGACCGACTCTCTTTGCAAAAGTAAAAGAAATTAACCAAGTGTGGAAACATCTTTCACAGCAATCGAAACTCTGAGTAATATACGCTTTACTATCAAATAAAAGTAAGTGGGCAATCATACATTTTGAAATAAAATCTTACATTAACTAAGGGTGCTACATGTATTTCTGTCATCTGCTGTTTTGGCGATCTGTGCAGTTGATAATGTGAGTGCGGTCTGTATTCTCCAATGCCAGTGCTTGTCACCGCTCCAAACGGAAACTAGTTCCCTGAAAAGCAAAACACAAGGGGCTGCATTTGCAATCTTTTTGTGTTGGGGATATATTTCTGTCAACTTCTTCCAACAATTAATTTGGTCAGGAAAAATGCAAGGGGAAGAAAGTAACCCTGACCAGTTTGTATGCGGTTGACCTCTCAGATCTTAGTGAGAAGAAAAAGTGGAATACCGATGATGCCAAACGAATATCTTGAAAATAATTTCTTGAAAGTGCCATCCCCCTGATTGGATGCAGGGAAGATCAAAGGACAGGCCTCCATGTGGGGAAGCAATCTGGCTTAGTGGCAGACTTGGCGTAAATATTCACAATTCATTTTTGGCTGAGCTCCTTGTCACGCAGGATCATTATTTAATCTGGTTGGAGTCACTTCCGAGGCACAGGAGACTTTCAGTTTGGCAGATCAGGAGATACCTTAAAGGAGCATCTTAGAATTCTGGTCCAGTTTTAAGGGAAAAGAAGAGTTGAGGAAGGCCACACAAAGCAGTCTTAAAATGTTGGTTGCCTTATTGCATATTGTCCAAGTACATGTATATGCTTTCAGGAAGTGACCTTTTAGGTGTTTCTCATTTTCATTGAGGGTCTGAAAGTTTTACCATGCGTGGTTTCAAGTTTACTAGAAGGCAAAAAACACTGTTGTTTACCTTGATAATCTTGACACTACTGCAGAGCTTTTCATTCTGTTCAAGGAGATTTGAGTTGTGAAAGTTCACCTTGTAATATTTTAATGAACCATAATGTATTGTAATACTCCCTGCTCTCTTTTTTTTTTATTCGTAGGAAAAATATGCAAAGCTCAATGCCAAACCTGATACCCCACCCACCGGTAGCCCCAAGACAGAGACACCTCCCAAGAGCACCATCGACCAGTCCTGGCCCAAGGCCTCTGAGGAGTCTGTCTTGAAGGAGCTGGACCAGTCCAAGTGCAACGATCCCCTGAAGCGATCACAGAGCTCTGTTGAAAGCAGGCCTCGATACTCCGACCCCACCAACTCGTCTTCCTTGTACTCTCGGACCATTTCAGTGCAGGCGCCCTCGGCACTGGACCAGCCGGACCACTCGTCCCAGTTGCTGACGTCAAAGAGAAAGAATGAGATCCCATCTAGCCTGTCTGCCAAGTCCATCCGATCGGACGAGGATGTCCGATCGGCCTCGCAGGCTAGGACACCCCAGGACACGGAGACCCCAGCCGACTTGCAGGGAACCAGGATGTCCTCACGGTTGCGGTCACGCATCCGCGCCTCAGACACAGGCATCTCAGAGCTGTCCAAGATGGGTGCGGCCCAGGCCCTGGGGATACAGAGAAGCCGCAGTGACGTCGTGATCAACCGGTCAGCCTATACACCTTCTCCACCAGAACAACAACAATGTCAACTCGGATGTGCCTGGGCTGGGGAGCCGCGGGGACCCGCAGCGGCGGAGCTGGCGGCTACGTAGCACCCAGGAACAACCGTTGACTGAACTCCCCTCCCCGCAGGAGAAGTCGCCACGGGAAGTACTCTCTCCAGCCTCTTCCTCACAGTCCGAGGACAGCAGGACATTTGGCAGAGAGCGGTCAAGCACTAACGAGTCTCAGTCCTCAGTGGTCAGTACTGGGAGCCAGTCTAGTGATGATTTTGAGAGACTGGACCACCCCAAAGTGTCAGGATTACGTGTGAACAAGGTGAACGCTCAAACACTAGAGGAGTTTTAAATCATAATAATTTCTAAACATCGTTTGCATTCCTTTTCTTTCTGTCCAATTTCTCTTGTTTCCAAAGTTACATTTTCTGCTTGGTAAAAATGTGATCGAAAAAGGCTTGTCCCATTTTCTCAATTCCTTAAGCTGATTATAAAGCACTGTACTGCCAGTCAGCTGTCGTATTCAGGAAACAAATGCAAGGTGGTAGCATGCCATGAGGGTGGTGAGGGAAGGGGACACCTCCCCCCGGGGAAAAAATTTTTTAAAAAGGTAAAAAATAAAGGAAAAGGAAAAGGGAAAGAAAGGGGACGAAACTGACCAATTTGCTTGAAACTGTCTCGGAATTAACACCCATCCACCCTTAATTGTTTGTGAGTTCACTGCTGATGAGTACTTGGCTCTCCTCTTCCATATTCCTCCTTCCAATAAACTCCTGGTGATGCCCATATGCTATGCAGACACATGGATAGTATCTTTGCATCACATGCTCTTTCGACTAACTTGTAGAAACGCGTGTGCACCTTGAATGAAAGACTGACATGCCTGCAAGTAAGGTGCATCTTTAAGTGTGATTGCAAAATTACATGTAAATACATGTACCCACTCCAAGTAGTTATGTACCGTTCATGTCCTTGTTTAAGGATTATCTAAAGACTAGTCCAGAAGAAATTGACCTAATTTTGCCACTGACCAATTATGCAGGCAATGCTAGATGGGGATTCACCATCGCCCAGCAAGAGGACAATAGATCGGAGGAAACAAGCCAACAGCAGACGCAGCCGACACACTGTGACCATAGACAGCAGCATGCACGTCATGCCATCCAGCGATGAAAGCGAAACAAACAAGGTAAGAGACGGGCGGAGTTGGCTGGTATTGTCCAACTGACATTTGGATGAATGTACATTGTAATTCTGAAGTGTGATATTAGGACAAGACCTTGAATGTTGTGGGATGAAGGCAGCTGACTAGAGGGTGTCACTCAGCAAGTTTTTTTTTTTGTTTTAGCCTTACTAGAATTTTTTGTTTATATTTCATCGGCCATGCTAACAGTGACAAGTTTACTTGATACTTCCATTTGTATTAAGAAAACTGTGTTTAGAATTTGTGCTGGGTCAAAAAAATGGAGCCTTCTCAATTCATGAAATTTGAACTAAGATTTAGCCGTTTCGGTTTTCCAATAAACCTTGGCCTATCTACCATAAATGGCTGTACTTATGATGGATGGACAAGCATAAAGGAAAAGGTCCTTTTGGATAGTGTTCTAATTAAAGCAAGATGGCTTATATTGCTGGGCAGTCGAGCTGGGAACAAGACTGCAGGCTGGATGCACTTTACTGGTTTTTATAGTGTCATATAATTATCCCCTAGTGACACGCAGAAAAACTGCATAATTGTCACAGTGAATACCATACCGGGGAAAACATTTACCAATTCTGAGAGAAAAATGCACCTGTAACTTCTGTTGAATGCATACGTGTACATGTACCTGAAAAGTAGGTACACGATAGCATTATAACACTTCTGCACAAATATTCTGCTGGCAGTTTGGCACAGGTGGCTTGGCAAGATACAAAATAAACCAGCATTTGCTCTGCCGTTGCATTTCCGTTACCTGGTCTATACACGTACATTTGCCTGTTGTCAGTCATAGGCTAATATCATTTTTCTTTAATTTTATTTTGAAAAATTTCCTTTTCAAGCAGCTGGGCTTTACAGAGGTACATGTAGTACTTCAAGCACTTGAAGATTGACAGTCATTGTGCTTTTAACCAATTAAAAAAAGAGAAGCATTCTCTGAAAATGGAACAGGCCAGGTCAAATACCCCCCAAATGAATGTGTGTGCATGTAGCATGACTGCTGTACACTGTATGCATTTGCATATCAGATGTTACGCTGTCAGGTACTTTATTGCGTCATTCACTATCTGTTCTCTGTCAATGCCCTGTTTATGTTGAAAATGGGAGCTTGTGTCATCCATCTTGTTGAATGCCATGAAATTTCTAGTGATATTGTCATGAATTATGAAATGGGTGGTTTTGCCTGCTTGGGGAATGTGTGTGTATTCGACTACACGCATGAATAATTTTGTCCAAGTGCATCATATGCATTAGCCCACACCAAACGAGGCTCACTAAAGAAGGGCAGAATATATCTCTGATGCAGTTGCCATGTCAATAACTCATCAACCAGAGCTTAAACCTGTTTGGAAGCTGTCACAAGAGGGCGTTGTTTACCAACTCTGTGATCAGGCTTGACCACAGGGTGAATGCACGGTATGCAGGTCATTCACAGTGATGAGTTGTGTAGTGGGAACATGGTATTGAAAGATGGAGGAATGAATCAGTGTGACTGGGGGCTGTGTGAAATAACAAGTGTCAGATTGATTTGCATATACTTGTAGATGTGAAGGGTACAAGTGAAAGCACATGCACTCTGAAGCATATTTGCAACACAGTGAAGTAATGTCTTGTTGGTGCTTCAGTGCCAGATAAAATGGGGTCCTAGATGTCCATGGTTTAACAATCTTCAGGTACTCTGTATGTCCGAGGGGTGTTTCAACCATTTCATGTCAAATACGACAAGTCAGTGCCAGCCCAGATCATAAGATTCAAGTCCATCCGTTCTATAGTGACCGTCCCAGCGTGGACCACATGGTGCTTTGTTTTTCAGTAATTTTAGTTTTCAGCCATTTCCACAAACTGATCATGTTAATCCTCGGAAAAAGTGCCATCCCTCTGATCCGAAAATTTGTGATTTGAAGGTTGTTTTCAAAGTCTGGGATTTCTTCCGTTGTACATGTACCGGTAAGTTGTACATGTAGTTCTCTCCATTTTGCATGTAGATTTGCAAGTTGAACTCAGAAGGTTGACCAGAAACCTAAAAAGACAGATTTTTTTTCTCCTCATAATTTTCTTCAATCAGTTTCAAAGAATTGGAATTAAACTTTTTTTCAGTAGAATTTGACAAAAAGTGAAATTTTTTCACACTTCATATTAAACTGCAGTGGCTAGCAGGTAAATGGGTGTGTGTGTATCATATATTTGTCCAGCACACGTGCCATTTCAATTAAAAAACCCTGACTTTGTGCTGATTGATTTTTGCCCAAATTTTTTGTTTGATTTTTTGTGGTTTGTGGATTTATTAAATTCTATTTTCCTAGCCGATTGTCACTTTTTTAATCTCTGACTTGGTAAGGGACAAATAATTTATTAGACATGCTCCATTTTCACGGAATATCATTAATAATGTGAAAATGCACCTGTTGTTGGGAGTGAAATGTGAATGGCAGAGACCACTCTACTGGTACATGTACAGTGTATGCCAGACTATTAAACCTCGGAATATTTTGTTTAATAATAAATTATGATAATACCTGAAGCATGGATATCTGTATGTACATGTAGACACTGAAGTGAAGAACTACATTTAATATATGGACATACATGTACAGTGAACGTCCTTGCATGAAATGACATTCATTTTTTACTCACTTGAACGTTTGTTGAAATGTCAGGTGGCCCATGACAAGTGTATTGGTGCATGTAACTACAGTACATGTAATATCCAAGCTTGGGTAAATGCCAGTGGCTTGGAGTCACAGTGGAATCCTTGGTAGTGGCTGGCCAGCCAGCCAAAGCCAGTTCTCATAGCATTGTGTGTAATGTAAGCCACAGCCAAGTGAGTCAGACGCGGCCTTAAAATTAAGCCACTCCTTCAACTCCAGCAGAATCTCGTCGTAAGTCCATTGATCACTACTCAGATTTGCTGGAAGGGAACATTAGAAACAGTTACTAATGTTGCCGAACTGTCCACTCTTGCTTCAGCAGCAAAATGTCACCTGTTTTCGTAGACAGTATGTGAAAAACCACACCATTGTTGTGTAGTGGATGTGGTTTTGGGAGGCTGTTTACGTTGGAGGCTTTTGCAGTGTAAACCTTGTTTAAGTGATCAGTTGAAGGCAAATCAAACTGCATTTCCAACTTCTGTCTGTGAAGCCCTTCAAGTCACATATGTGTGCGATTATGGAAAGATGTAATAGTGGTAGAAGCATGTTTCTGCTTTCCCTGTTGGAAGAAACATTGACATGATATCTCATTAAGTTTATTCCCTCGAGATTCGACTACATATTTCACCATCCTCCAAACTCCAATGCAGAGAATGGTGCATACATGTATGTCTTAAGAAATCGAATAAATTTATCATTCAGTTTGTGTTAAAATGTTACGTTTAGCCCTGCATGTGCACAAACTTGTATGTGGATCTCCCCACTTCCAGCTCCTGTCAGAATGCAGTGCAGCTGCTATATTTTAAGCAACTGTTGTAATCATCTGTTTGTTCAGCCATTAGGTTGAACAAACATATGACCCTCCAAAAAACAGCGACAAAAATCTGCTGCATGCAAGTTTCAGTCTGGACTTTTTTCAATTGTGCTACGGAAGCTATGAAACAGTTGCCATTAAAAGTGGTAAAAAGTTGCCCCAATTAATGTAAAAAAATATTTACGGTCAATAATTCTTTCAAAAGAATGGAAATCCAGGTCGTACGCCCCACCATAAACAACACTAGTCGTGGGAAACCAGTAGCTGACCGTGAAGGAAACTTGTAAAATCAACAGAAGTTTCTTTTTGAAATTAGTGCATGTAAGGAAACAAATACAAGCATTGTTTAGTGTAAAACGGCTGTTGAGAGGTGTCTTGAAGGACAAGAGGATTTTAAAAAAGTGTAAATTTTTTGTTAATTTCTTAATGTCAATAAAAATTCCAGCATTGTTCTGTAAAAAACAGAATTGGGTGGGTAACCGGAAGTATTATTATTATTAATAATACTTTTTTATGGCCTTGTTACCAAACTGTAACATTCAACGTCCAGCAAAGGATCACAGATAACAACCCCCCTCCAAATCACAGCTTTTAAAAGTTAATCAAGATTACCTCCTGGAGATTTGTTGTCGCAGAATTGCTGTATCAGAGACATTGATTCAAGAGAAATGAAGAATTTGAAATACTCCCTCATTCTTTGATCCGCCACTGACCTCAAAGATTTCCTCTGGGGCGAGCTGAGTCACTTAGTATTGCTAAACCTTAATCTCCAACATTTCTTATGTCTCTATCTGACCTCTTTTCACTAACCACAAGGGAACTCGGGTATTTCATGTAGTCAGCTCTCAGACAGACCCTGACCCAGATTAACATTGAATCCCTTGGTGAGTCCTCAGATATCCTGATATTCTATTCCACGTGAAGTCTCAGAGTTAACAAGTCACAGCTTGTGTTCCGGAATCTCTCCCTGTTTGCTTCAATTTTTTTTTTCTCCGAGGTGTGTCAAAGTCATGTTCCCCCCCCAAAGCTTATGGTGTACTGTAGGTCTAATTTGATGCAATCTAATTTGCCAGACTTGTATTGTGACTTTGAAAGTTTTTCCCAGTTGGGACTCAGGAGCTACATGTACTTTACCTTTCTCTCCTGGTAACTGACAAAAAACAGGCAGTGGTTCAGCTGAGGTTTCTTCAAAGGCAAACACATGTCTAGAGACACCCATTACCCAGTATCCCTGGGACAGAAGACACAGACTTACATTTTCAAATAGTATTTAGAGTTGCTTCTAGCCAGTGGTGATTGTTTTGGTGTCTCTCTATGCTGCCCTCTCTTGTCACTTTGATGGACATTTTTTCTCTAAAGTTCCCTGTGAAGTGTGACTTGCATCTGTACAGAAGATCTAGAAGATGTGTTCGTCTAAAATCATATACAGGTGCATATGGTATACCATAAATGGCCATACATCAGATTGTAACATGGACAAAGGGATGAATCACATTCAAATAGTGGTCTGTTTTCCAGAACTTAGTTCCTCTGTGTTTTTTTGGGGGGGGAGGGGCACGAAATTTCTGGGGCATGGATCTCGCAGTTGCTCTCCCTTCTCCATAAACCAGATATCCTCCTGGGACTCATTTTTTTGAAAATAGTCATCTGCTTTATGTAACCACATTACAGTTTCTTTTGACTTCTTTTGGTTATAATGCATTGCAGAAATGTAAATAGGTAAATTGGACATGAATTATGTGTTTTGGGGGGGCATAAGTTGTCTAGGTTCACTTGGAGCAGAAATTGGAAACTACAAATTACTACATACCTTTTAGGCCACGGATGCAGCTACAGCCGCAGTAAACTTTTGCTTCATATTTGTGAAATCTAACACTCTAGTGCAATACAACAAAAAAAAAATTCTTGGAGAGTGAAATCACATGTTGACGGCTCTTGCCAGACTGCACACAGATGGCCCTGTCTGTCTCTGGTGTTTGGTGGGGGGAGGGAGAGACGGGGAGCTTCACATGTGGTTAGTAATGAACCTTGCCGAAGGATACACTTCCTGATCTTAGAAATATTGAGTCACCGTCCCATGGGGGAAGGCTCAACCTTCGTTCTTACATAGCTGAGTTTCATGGTGCTCTGAAGGAACCTCTTTAACGGCCTGCACTCATGGCCCCTGTCAAACTGTTTGTTTCCCCCCAAGTCAATTCCAGATTGGAAGTCCATGGCACAATACACCTACATGTACCTTGGCAGGCCCAGGGCTAAATGCAGTGTGGTGTGCAGATCGTGTTTCTTGTCTGGCCCACCAAGGAGGGACACCACAGTAGTACTGGCGAGCCAAGGTTGTGGACCCCAGGGTGTGTAGCTCTTGTGCTGTGATCAGGTAGTGGACAGGGAATTTGTCTGTCTTGAGGGGGTCTGGTCATTTGTTGCTGTGGGGCTGGGGAGGGCCTTATCCCCATGCACAGGCTGCATGGATACATCATCAGAATACGCCCTGTGCAATCAGCAGATATGTTCCTTGTGGCTCGTGTGGAACCAAAGTGGACTGACTTAAACCACATGCAGCAGGGTGAGCCTTGATAAGCACTCTTGGAGTAACCACACAGACCTGATGGCCGACTGGATACTTACTGCACATGTGCTTGACCTCCATGACATGACCAAGACCACAGTGATCCTGTGGCAAGAATGTTTGTTGCAAACCTGGAAGCTGTGTACGTGTACTCGCCTGTCAGTGAACTTGTCAGAGATGCCGAGGGATGGTTGTAAAGGAAATGCATAGTGCCACCTGCTCATTTCCTGATGCTGGGCTACGGGTAACACCTAAGCCTTGAGGTGATCATATTGTGTCCCCTCTGGATTCTGCTCGGGTGATTAGAGAGTACATGCTTCTGCCGTTGTAATCCCAGAAAAACTGTGGCTCCTCCATGATGCTGTGGGAATGGTTCATGTGGAATTTTACAAAGCTGGGCAAGAAAGCATCTGGTAAGTTTGTGCTCACCTGTACAGGGGAGTGATCCGTCAAACGGATGAAATTAATGAAAGTGAATACCTTGGGAATTTCTGTTGTGTCACCCTATCCTCTGAAGTATGTTCTTTTTACTCCGTTTCCCCCTTTTTTTTCAGGAAAGAGTACATTCTAACCTTTTCCTGAGCTATGTACCTGTCACTTTTAGTTGAATTGCTCACATACATGTAGGCCTTCATTATGCATGTTGAACTTTTGACCTGTTGAATGCAGCAAGTGCTTTATGCACTGTGCAAAGTGAAATAAATGGGCATGTGAGTGTGATTGCATTGGCCACCCTCTGAGCAATATCAAAAGCAACACTTCAGCCCGTGAAAAGAGTTTGATCGTAAAAACTAGGTACATGCATGGTTGCCATTTAGATGAAGGGCACTACCATATATAAGCAGAAATTTTGCAGGAAAAATATGTGGGTTTCCCCACTTGTAATAATTAGATTAATTGACAATAGCTTAATTTTTGAGCATTCAATTAATTGGTGAACATTTGATAAAAAGCGCAGTATCGTTGAGTCTAGTGCTTCATACTTGTAAGTGGAAGTAAACATGTTTTCCCTTTGCCTCACTTTGACTTTTTTGAGAAGGTGGTCTAGATTGATCTGACATCCTGTCCTGTCACGTGCGCAAACACCGCATCAGGCTGAGCCATCAGTAAATGCTGCCCATTGTTGACTTGGTCTCGCTTGGCAGCGTCTTGGACTTGACTATGGAGGAAACACAGCAATTACGCTCAATCCAAGGCCTTTGAATATCACTTACTGCAGGTTATGGATATGGGGCTTGGTGTCTTGGCCAGCTTTTTTTTAATAATTGTGATCTCTGAGGTAACAGCTGATTTTGAAGTCATCCCGACTTTTTAATTTCATACACCACTCCTTTTCCCGACCACGACCCCTTCATAATTAAATGTAAATCATTCTTTGACCTGTTTATATAAATAAACGGATTTGTACAGTAAATGTTTACAGATCAAAGTGTTGACTTAAACTAGTTAATTGCGATCGCTGAGACTGAAACAGCTGATTTTGAAGTCAGCTTGACTTTTTAATTTCGTATACCACTCCTTTTCCCTGACCACAACTCCATCATAAGTAAATGTAATTTATTCTTTGACATGTTTTGACAAGTGGATTCATGCAGCATACGTTTACAGAGTAAGAGGTTGAACCAGTTTTCCCAAATTTGTCGCGTCTCAGGATGTTATAAATTAGAAAAAAAAAATGCCATTGAAGCGTCAGTGGGAGAAACATTGTTCCAATTGGCAATATTAAAGCAGGAATTTCAAATAATACAAAAATTGAATCACACAGTAGGGAATTCTCTCCATGTTGAAATAATTAGGATGGAACGGACGCAAACACTGAATTGATACAGCAGTGGGCATTCCTCCCATGTAGGAAATCCTGGCCTCCAGTGTCAAATTGTAGTTCCAGTCATTCCAGATGCGTAAACTGATCTCGTCGCGTCCCGCCCCGATCAGATTGTATCATGCAGCTGCAACAAGACCCAACTCTTTCCTTGTAGTTCTTCACTCTGTGCTTCAAAGTTTTTCTTTGAAATGGCCAGTGGAGTCAGTCAATATTCATTGATAAATCATTGGTGGAATTATCCAGTATATACATGTATGTACTCTCTGTGGCTGTTGTGTCCGTGTTGAATTGGTTCACTGGGTTTTCCTTTTCCTTGTCTGTTTCAGTCATTGGTTTACCACCTTACCTGCTCCAAGCCTGGGATGTCAGGCATGCAAGACACACTGTATTAACAGACATAAATGTACATGTATCCACAGTCATGTATCTGCACAGGTTGTGATTTGTACAGCAGGTGACAAAGCTGACACATTCAAGGCTCTGTAGGCGGACACGTGACCTGAACTGTTGTGCATTGAAGGTCCCCTGTCAGTTGATGTAAACTTCTCAGTGTACAATACCATTCCTAGGAAATGAAGTGACATTCAGGAAACCAAAAGTGCATTTCAATGAGAACTATCACGTCATTCCAGTGTCATTTCAATCTTGAAAGGCAGTTCAAATGCATCACGTTTTAATTCTTCTAAACAATGCAGCTGTCCAAAGACCACAGTTTGGAAGTCCTCTTTTTTTTTACCTGCAGTACATGTAGTTTCAAAGCATCAAGATCATAGTTGCCAATTGTTTATTTTAAATTGCTAGTGCGACAACCTAATTTGATGTACATTGATATCGTACCTAAACTAATAAGTTCTGCACTTCCTTGTTCAAACATACATCAGGACATCCTGTGTTACTTTGCCTAACCACTTCCTGAAGTTGAAATTTTGTGTAAAATTTGTCTTCTGTTTCTCCATTTTCTCCAAATGAAGGAAACGCCGACATTGAAACGATCCAGTTCTGATCCAAATCTAGCAGACAGCGACGACATGCTGAAGCGCAAGCAGATTGCAATGACCTTCCCAGTGAGTATCCAGTTTTCATAGCGGACAAAAAAAAAAAGTGTTGGCAGTTTTACCAGTAGATCAAGGGGAGTAAAGGTTGGAATTTGGACTGGTTGATAAATGATAGGCAGAGACAAGTGGCATGTTACAAAAACTTGATATCAGTGTATTGGTGTTATTTCTGCTTGTTTCAGACACTTACTCCTGTTCTTGAAAAAAAGAATTGACGTTTTCAATTCTCACCGTGGAAGGTAATGGTCAATAAGCAAGACAGTTTTCCACACTTGCTCAAAAATACAAAAACTTGATACGGGTGTGTTGATGTGACCTGTCTGCTTGTCTGATTTCTGTTCTTGAAGGAAAGACTGGAGTTTCGAATCCCACCATGAGAGATACGAGTAACTGTTGTGTTCTTAGGCAAGGCAATTTTTCTTACTCGCTCTTCCAATAGGGCAGATTTAGTGATTGAACCTGAAATGGAGAATGTTACCAGCCTCACAGTTACTATTTGGCTGGTTTTCTCTCCTCACATTCTCATCTCCGTGTTTAACATCACTGTTTTCTGACCCTCAACTTGTATGTTCTTTCTTCAGGGTCTCTTCCATCTGAAGAAAGGGTGGCTGGTCAAGCAGGGCGATGGGGAACAGGTGGGTACTAGATCTAGTAGGAGTGAATTTCATGACTTGCTCAATGGGAGGGACTTGTCTCATGTTGCACTCGAGCTGTTCATTACAATGTATTCAACATTTGCCCTTTTTGGGCATGTATCCCGTTTTATCCATTCTTGCTGTAAAGTAAGTGTAAGTGTACCATATCACAACCATGAACAGGTGGAACAACAAAAGTGTGTGATGTGTGTATCTGTTGGAGCCATCTATATTAATGGGTAACAATGGAAGCCGCCGATGCACCTTCAGTACACCCAACTGTACGTGTAATTGAATAACTGAATTCGGTACAACTGTATTTGATAGGCTAAAGGGAGAATTTAAATTGGTTTAAAATTAACTTTTCTTTATGAAAAATGAATTTACCTCACATGAAAATATCACTGTCTCACTATTACTCCTTAAGATAACAGTATGATCCACACTGAGCAACACTGCGTAACATGGCTGCTCCTTTCCAAGCTCCGAGGCATAGCCATATTTTTTTTTTGGAACAAAATCTTTGATTTCTAGACATGCAAGCTCTTGTTTTTCCTATCATGGTAATTGTTTTTGCCTTTAATGAGAGGGTAGTTACCATATTTCTCGATGCATATCTAGTGTTAAGCTTGTGCAACTGATGGTGTGCAAAAGGTTTTTGACTAACATGTGTGACACGAATGTGTGGTCGTGCATGCATGTTAGTCACCGTACCGTGACTGTGGTGACTTGCAGTCACTTAACTGCATGAGGAAGTGTTGTTTATTGGATGAATTCACAGTGTTTCGTTGTTCAAAGAAGACACACAATCTTGAGGGTAAATTTGCCAACCACTGCTGAAAGCCGTGGGGAAAAAAAATTCACTTCTTTGGACCATCTTTAATCTGTAGATCAACCTCGCCTGTGCATTATCGAGGCATGCAGGAAGGTCCTGTTGTCCCAGGATTTTTGTGCGTGGTCAAACGTGCTTGTTTTGTTGATCTTTCGAAGCAGCAAAATCAAGAAATGAAAAATCAATGGAACGATACCCTAAAAAAACAATAAACTGCCATATCAGCCAATTTTGAAAAATGGAAGTGGGATATACCTTCTGTAGATTTTCATATATTCCCATGTCCATGTATAGCATTAAGTTGCTAAAGTTGAATAAAATAAAGAATCCGAGTGTTGTAGTCGAGAACTTTTCGAGTGCTAAATTCACTGCCAAATACTAAACTGGTTACGAGGGAACAAAGCTACACGTAGACAACACGGACATTGGATGGTAAATGCCTGAAGGTCAGACTACAAAATGAAGTTCGAGTTCAATTAAGTAGAAATTAAGTGTCAAGGCAAAAAGCACTTGGCTGAGTACTCTCTGTGTACTTTCACTGCAAAAATTACATTTTATTAAACAGGGATGGTCTGAAGTCATCATCTAATTTGTAATGTTACCTGTGTGTGTCCACTCTCTAATGCCCGTGTCGTATAGTTTTGATCCATTCTAGCCAGTGCAGTCTTTGGCAAAGAACTCCAAAGTACCCAACTGCAACACTGGTGGTTCAAGACATACATGCATGTAGTTTTAATGTGGTTTGAAAAGTCAAACCTAAATATACACACAGATGTTAGTAATTTGTTAGCATAACATTGATCCTCCCGTGGAGAAAAAACATGAAAATATACATGTGTGGTTCGTGACACGTGCATCACTTCCATATTTGAAAGTTTAGTGTGAAATTTGAAATGTCGTTCTTTGGAATTTAATTGTTATATGTTCCCACATATGATTACATGTATGACTTCCTGGGTCACATTTGTAATCTGGATTTCATGAGCCACACTGTACTTAATAAATGTGGAAAAAGTAGCCCAGGCTTCTTATGAGCAACTACATGTACAACCCTATTCAGATGAAAGCTTAGGAATTATCGCATTGTACATGTTATTTGACCCTTGGCAATGTCTGTATTTGGTAGGATTCCAAGCTGCGTGGTTGACCTAGGTGGATCTTTAAGAAAGCCGTTTCTTGTATTTTCTTGTATTTGAAAAAAATGTTTGAAAATATACTCTATGCTCCTTTTATGGGGCCCAGTCCCATTCTTGAGGTCATTGCCATGGCAGATGCTGTATGAGCTGGTGTACATTGTAGATTAAACACGTGTCAATTTGGATACAGCCAACGATGGCATAATCACCTCTTTTCCCATTTTATCTGTCGGGAGTTGATGTGTGCCCTCACTTGCAAAGAAGAGACAGGCTTGTGGGATGTTTTTCAACCCGTCTCAAGCACGTGCCCGGTGCACTCGCACAAACTTTTCATGCAAAGTGAAATTGGTCGTGCGGATGATCAGAAAATGTGCATAAACCCACGTGTGCATGTGGTGAGTCTGCGCCGAAAGACCTCCATTGCTGTGTAAAGGCATGTCCTGTCTTGTTCCCACTCCATTAGATACATTTGTGCGTACACGTAAGAAGTAGCTTTGATTTAAAAGGAAACAAACGGGAGTTGATGTTTCTTCCAGAGCTAATATTATTATTATTTTTTTTTTACTCAAAAACCATCCACCCCACCCCCCCCACTGACAGTGTTGCTTAAACACTACAAAGAAGAAGCCCTGACAACCTTACCGGGATTCACCTGTTTATATGCTATACCCCCATCTGTTTACACATGTATCATGTTTGGCCTCCCTGTGGCTGGCATTGAGACTAAATTGGTCTTTTGAAGCTTGCCGGTTCAAGGGCTGTGAGAGACAAGAAATTCAAAGCAAGAAACCACTGCAGGAACTGTGGGGAATCCACAGTCTCTTCTCACTTGCAGCAATGAAACTTGCAACAAATATTAACCTTTCTGTGCCAATGACCGTGCATTGCAGATTGGCATCGTCTCCAGGGGACCAGTGCATTTAGTGTTGCCAACTGCATTGCATTGGTACACACTTTCACATTGGATCAGCCTTTCCCTACAAGGATCACAATGTTAATGTGACCCCTTGCATATATATCCTGCCTTAGGAAGTCGGCTCTAACCCAGCATCCTGGTAGATAATAAGTCTAAGTTTTGACACATGCACGGCTGGGAATTAAAAGAAAAAAAGTCAATACTTCCACTTTGGATAAGGAGGGGAATCCACACTGCTGGAAGATTTGAAAGGCATCTAAGTTGCGGCGTATAATGTGGTTGCCTTTTGATGTGGGGGGGGTGTGAATGAACTGTAAGTGTGCAGGGAATAGTTCATCATTTTTCTCACAGATCTGTGCAGCTGTTGTTCTATTGACAGGGCCAATTTTTATGAAGCCATGCAGCTCTTTATAATGTTTGTATGAAACTTCTTGGAGGCATAACCTTCCTCCTAATATGCATCATATTGATGTGCTACTTTCATCTCAGTCTTTTTTATTTGTTTGGTTTTTCTCCTCAGGACTGGAGCAAGCATTGGTTTGTGCTTTGTGACAACAAGCTAAGCTACTTTAAAGACTCAAGTGACGAAGATGTAGGTTGCACACCATATTTTTCTGTATTGATAATATCCCCCAAAGATATCTGAAACATAGCTGACCCAGATATGTTTAAATTAATCTCAGTGATTAAATAATCTGATGCATGTGTTTTTTTGCAAGAGATAAATTTCTTCTGTGCTCAAGTTTAAGAGTTGAAGGGGAAAATGTTGAAAATGCGTTAAATTTCCCATTTAAAAAAACTTGGACAAAAATGCCTCCCGTTTAGGCGGAGAAAGAGGGCTGATAATTTGAAAGAATGCAGTTCTTAAAACAACCTGTCAGCCACAAATGCATAATAACATACTGAAAGTATCGGTCCTCAGTTGGTCCATTTCCACTCTTTAAACTGTCAGTTGTGTGTTAAGGACGGCTAATTTGAAAACGTCCCTATCCCATTGCTGAGTGCACAAGGAAATGAATGGTTGATTCTGCCCTCCCCCCGGCTTTCCCATTTTGTCAGGGGTCTGTGTTTGTTGCTGGAGGAAATCCTCAGTCACTTGCGACCGATAATGACTTGCTATGCCAGTGTTGATTGCCTCGCAAAAAAGAGATTCATGTCTCGAGAGCACTGCCCATCCAGTAAAGATTATGCCTCACAAGAGTGCCCTGGGAATGAATTACGGGAGGATATGGGAGGTAGGGGAGGGGCATGGCCAGCCTTCTGACTAACATATTTGGAACACTAATGGGACCGGTACACGTAGAAGATTTTTGTCGTGAATGATGCTGATAAACATTGCCGTGAAGAGATGCAGGACTGTGATAATCATGCATTTCAAACTCAGCAGGAGTTCCTTCCTTTAGAATTATAGATAGATCTGTGGTACAAAGACCATTTTATTCTGAATGTTCTCAGTTTCCCTAAGATATAAGATGTGGTAATATTCAGTGGGTGATGTACCAGTTTCATTGACTTAGAAGGACAACTTCAGCTGTAGAGTACTATGGCGAATTTAGGACCAAAGGTTTTAAAAGGATGGTTAATGGAACCAGATACTATTTGTCTTTAATTTGCAAATTTTGTGGCTTTTGCATGATTGTGTGGAAAAAAAAACCAGTGGAGCCTCTTTTCTGTGTAGAAATAATCTTTGAAGATTTTATCAGCTGGAATGCCTCAGAGAACGAAGAGTCGCTGTCACGATTTTTCAACTTAACCACTATATCTCTTTTCCTTTGATTTCTTTGCCAGCCTGATAATTTGGAAGGAGTCATAGAGCTGGCGAAATGCATTGAGGCATCTGAGACACCAGTCAGCAGAAATTATGGCTTCCAGATTGAGGTATCATAACAAAAATTCCCCCCCTTTGTTCCTTTCCCTTTTGTGGTCCACAGTAGAAATGGTTACGCTGTGGTGAAATGGATGATTTAACACTTGAAAACCAGTGACCAATGTTTTTCTACATTTTGCTTGGGGTCTGTCCTCTTTAGCCTGATGTATTTCATTTCGAAACTTGAAGACTTCATATAAATTTGACACTGGAGCTTGTGAGTTGGAAAGTTCCTCCATTCCTTATTGCAGTTAATATACACGTGTACATTTGACAATTTGCATACAAATTCCAATGACAGGAAATACAGTCACCATATGGATCCGCATTACTTCAGTTCCTGTAGCTTCCACTTCCTCGTTAAAAATACTGAGATGTTTCTAGTTATTGTTTATCCCGCTTGATGTGTTCTGTGGGTACAGTCATGTGATGTTTCTGTCAGCAGTGAGAGCAAGAATTTTGCTTTTCATTATAAAAACAAAGGTGATGAGGAGTGACAGTTTGTGTTAAGCTTTTGCTTTTGATTTATGACATTGATGGTGTTTTGCCACGTTTTGCCAATCAGCTTGACACTGGGGTGATCATCCTGGCTGCGATGACATCAGGCATCCGTAACAACTGGGTAGGAGCCATCAACAAAGCCATCAAGACAGCTCGGGAGGACAGTGCCAAGAAAAGCGGGGAGTCCACCACACCACTGAAGGAGAACCAGGCCCTGCCCGCCAGGATCACCAAGCCCAACTCCCTGCCCATTTCCAAGAGCACCTCAGACATCCGGCCAAAAGAACAGCGGTCCTCGCCCCTGCAGCCGGCTCGGAAGAGCCTCAATGGTGCAGACTTGCTGCCCACCACCAGTCGGAGCCTGACACAGACTGACGGCAAGGTGGGCACCCCTTCCCCGGGGGAACCAAAGCCGCTCTTGGAGAGGAAGTCTAGCACACAGTCCCAGTCCACCAAGGCCCCATCCCTTGAAACCCTTCCACCACACTCGGGCAAGCCTGAGGGTAGGCGGAGCTCTGTCTCCAAACCCTCATCCTCAGAATCAAGACCCCGCCGAGGTTCTGTCACCAAAGAAGGGAGCAGCACAGAGGCCAGGCGGAACTCTGTCACCAAAGAGCCTGGGATTGTTACTGACGGCAAACAGAAGCATTCCTCTCCCACGAAGGAAAATTCAGGCTCGGACTCATCAAAATCCAAGGAGAAATCCAAGGAAAGGCGACAGAGGCGAGGGTCACGGTCAGAGAGAAGATCCCGCGAAGAAAGTACGGCAGCCGTCACTGCTGCCCTGTCAAAAAGGACTGCAAACACAGACTCTAAGCAGAGTACCACTGCCAGGAAGTCCAGGAGTAGCTCGCAGACGGAGGAACCTGTCACATCTTCCCCAAACTCTGAGCAGGACATTTCCCCTCGATCCAGGGCCGACTCTGAAAGCAAAAAGCGGCCAGCTACCGTAGACACCACTGTAATGTCACTTCTTGAGCAAGAGGTGAGTACTCTGTGAATCTTTTATTTTTCCCTTGCCTCGGCACCGATTGGGTATTTTTGTTTGAAGTTGTCATTGAATTGATTGCTTTTCGAAGTGGAGGCAAGCTTTGGAAAACTGAGTGTGCTAGTACAAGTTGATGTTGCATGTTTGGATAATTTTAGGGAATGGTGAACTAGATCACTTTTAGTGTAAATGGTACTAGATGTTCAAATTTTGACTTGAAAAAGTCATTGTGTTATGACTGCACAAAATTGGATATATTTCAATACGGGCGTTTCACAATAGTGGGTCACCAAGAGTTTTTAACATGTTGGCCAATCACAGTGCACGAAATTTGTCGACCCAATGCGCGGTTAGAAAGGGTCGACAAATTTCGCGCTTTGTGATTGGCCAACGCGTTGTAAACTCTTGGTGGCGCTCTATTCTTAATCGGGCGTATTTATATTTTTTGAAAACTTGATCACAGATAAAGTTAGATTAAACATGCAGAGTGATAATTTAAGATACCTCAGTGTTTTTTTTTAAATAGTAAAACCTGGCCACAGTGAAACTCAAAATTTTGAAAAACCTTTGGTTTGATGTTTAGGTGGACACCCTGAAAGCACAGCTGGAGCAAAAGCAGCAGGACTGTGTCCGCCTGCAGCATGAAAATGTCAACCTGAAAGCCAAGCTGAACTCGGAGCAGAGGGACCACAAGGAGAGCTTCCAGGACCTTGAGAACGAGCGGTCGGGCTACATGACCCAGGTAGGTCACAGGAACAGCAAGGAACAGATGCATTGTCATCGAGTCCCTCACGAGTCCCAGCACGTCAAGCCTGAAGCTGAGTCACGAGGGTTTTCAAAATGAACTGTGGCAGAAGCATTCCTCTTTCTAATTGTTAAGCCTGTTTACCACGACTGATCATGTGGAAGCACTTGTGAACGAAAGGACTCTTGATGGACTTGAGTACAAGACAGGACAAATGTTACTCAGCAAGATCATGTGCTCTGCTTAATCTGCTGAGAAGCAGCAGAGCATTGGCATGCTTTAGCTGGTAATGTGGAAGCCTCTTCTGCACTTCAATATTTGGACCGGAGGGGATGGGAGGAAGAGGGGCAGATGATAGTTTGAATAATGCCAAAATGGGAATAAAAGCAACACGTCGATTTAGCTGAAAGTTTTCAAAAGAATTGTTTTCCAGGAGCAAACGTTGCTTAGAATTATGTATAAAAAGCACTAAAATGTAATAGGGGAACTGTTTTTATTGTGACTGGTTGCCAATATGTGCTGTCTTTTACCTGTTTCAAAATCCCAAATCAAAACTTCTCCAATAGAAAAATACTTTTGAGGTTGTTTTATTGTCTCTTAATTTCATCAGTTTATTTTATGGGCTCATCTTGTTAATTAGATTTAATAGTGGCCTTAACTGAAGGTTAGTTCACATGAATGTGATCAAAAGGTAAGTGTGGTATAATACATCAGTTATGGTAAAGTTATGCCAGGTTTGAAAAGTGTTCACCTTGTGCAAATTAGCAGTTCACATTTGTTATAATGCCACATATTTACTTTTTCATTTGCACATGTTTTGTATTGTGTGTGAACCACTCTTCAGTTGAGTTTTGGAGATAGCAAAGTCTGATTTGTGTTTGTTTTGCTTTTGAATGCAGATAGAGCAAATGGAAGGGATTAACCAGAAGTTACAGACTGAGCTGCGACAGTCTAAGAATGCTACCCAGCAACTTGAGCAGCAGAACCAGCAGCTGGACGGCCAAGTCTCCACTCTCAAGACCGAGGCCCTTGGACGGGACCAAGACCTGGCATCCCTAAAAGCTCGATTTGAGGACATTGTCCGGGACCTGACAGCCAGCAAGGAGGAGAATGCTCTGACCCGTGCCGAGCTGAAGGCCGAGCGTGAGCGCAGCGAGACCCTCGAGACTGATTTAACCGACACCTGGGTGAAGCTTAGGGAGAGCGGAAGTGAAGGAGTCGACGTGGATGTTGTGGAAGAATTGTCACTGAAACTCGATGAAGCTCGAATGAGGTTGGAGAGGAGCGAAAGTGATGCTGTTGAGAACGAAAAGAAATTTGAGGAGCGCTTAAGTCGCATGGAGAACCAGCATCAAACAGAGAGTACTGCTTTGCAGGAAAGGCTTCGGGCAGCTTTGGATGAGACCAGTGAGCTCCGAAAGAGAGTCGCAGAAAAGACTGAACAGATTCAAAAGACAGAAGCTGCCATTGAAAAAGCAGGACAGACTGACAAACTGTCTTTGGAGACAAATGCCAGAGTAGCCGAACTCGAAGGTGCCATTCGGGAACTGAAATCCTGTTTAAAAAGGGAGGTTGCAGCAAAATCTGAAGTGCAGAAAAAATATGATGATTTACTAGCTCAGTCAGCTCACCAGTTTCTTGAAGGACAGGGTGATTTGGCCTCCACAGGGAGTGATGACAATGCCGTTAGGCTGGAAACCGAATTGGATCTGGCTGAAAGAGAACTTGAGAAACTGAAAAAGCAAAATGTGGTGGACAAGGAGCAAAGGGCATCACTTGAGAAAGCCCTGGAGAGAGAGCAAGGTCTCAGGAAACAGATGGAAGAGAAAATGAGTCTTTCAACTCAGGAAAGTGGCAGCTCAAAGGTTGACATTGAACAAAAGAGTTCGGAGATTGCAAGCCTCCGCGAGGAATTGAAAAAGGCCAAGAAGGAGCGAGAGGCAGTCAACTTAGTGCGGAAACAACTTGCAACAGCTGTTGACAGGTTAAATAACCAGTTAGCTGAAAAGGAGAGCAAGTTGGAAACTCTTAGTGCTGAAGTAGAAACCCGCGGCAGTCAGAATAGCCAGCTCGAGCAGCAGTTGCAAGTCAGCCTGTCCAAGGGGTTAAATTTGCAAAGCAAAGTGGAGACTTTGGAAGCAGATTTGCAACAAGCTTCAGAGAAGAGAGACGCAGATGCTAGTGCTCAATTGGAAGCACTCCAAGCTGAACATCGGCAGCTGAAGCGGCAAATAGGCATCCTGGAGGAGCAGCATGCACTGGAGATGCACAATCGACAGAGTGAGCTGGTGACAGCAGGAGACCGCATCAACAGGCTTGAGGAAAAAGTGGTCGTGCAGGAGACGAAGCTGAAAGCGGCAACGGAACGAGCCGATCGGATCGAGGATGACGCTGCAGCCAACATACTGGACATGCAAAAAGAGGAGGAGCTGCTGAGGTCCAAGTGCGAGCGCAGTGAAAAAGAGGTCAAACGTCTCCGAGGGGAACTCCATGCTGCACAGGATAACTACGATGAGCTGGAGCTCCAGTTCATCACGCAGCGGGAGGACCTGAAGAGGATGGAGAAGGAGCACGAAAAGGAGATTGGGCAGATTGGGTACAGGATCCAGGATCTTACCAGCAAGTTGGCAGCATCGGAGCGAAAGGTGAGAGATCTGAAGGGGGTAGATCACAGAAATAGGGCAAAAGGTGGAGTGGGGGCAGCTGGTGGGATGGGAATGCAGCTAACCCAAACTCGGCAGATGGAAAATAAACTGAAGGAGCTGGAGTCCAAATTGGGGGATGTAGAAAGTACTTTGCAGGACCAAGATCAGGACACCACCAGCCTCCTGGGCAAGATTGTCTCAGTAGAGCAGCAGGTCCAGGCTAGGGCCCAGCTGCCTTCAACAAGCAGCTGTGCAGATACTGAGCATCCCCTGCAATCCCAGGTAGTACAGCCACTCTCTCGTGGCTCTTCTGCTGCCAGTGCACCCTGTGATAGTGTCTCGACATCAGGTGCGGATCTCTCTGAGGACTCTGAATCAACTGAGGGTGCTGCATCACCAGGCAGGGCAAAGCAGACTTTCCGAGCCCGATACCTGGAGACCAAACTGAGCGGAACAGAGGAGAAGCTGAAGGAGGTGACCAGAAAGCTAGTTGATGTGACCACACGTGAATTAGAGATCCGGAAGACCTACCAGGAGAAAAGTGTCTCTGAGAGCCGGTTGAAGGAGAGGTTGAAGGTCATGGAGCGTGAGGTGGAGGCAGTGACCAAGGAGCTCCAACAGGTACAGTCAAACAGTCGAACCTTTGCCTGCGCTATGCGGGCTGCCATGACTGACTGTGGACAACTCTTTGGGGACATTAAATCTGGCTTAGAGTGGGTTGATTTAGAGGTAGGCTTGGAGAGGGCTGACAGGGATGGGCTGCCTAACCAGCAGCAGCGGGTGGAGGTAGCCACTAACCCAACTACTACTAGTCACACCAACATGCTTTCATTCCTCAAATCCCTGCTCACCGATGCATGCCACAAAGTAGATCAGTATAAACAGACTGCCATGTCCCAACAGACCCGTATTGAAAAGCAGAGTAGGCAATCCGTAAACTCCCTGTTGGTCAGGGAGCAAAATGGTGAGGGCAATTCAGCTGGTAGCAGTTTTGCATCGACCACAGCTTCAAGTTTTGACAGCACAGAGTCTGGCTCAATGAGGCTGACTCGGCAACGAAACCCTAGTGTTATCGGGACGTTGGAGCGCTTCGCCAACAGACTTTCTGCTGAGGTGATACTTCTCGGAGAGTCCACTTTCATCCTTCATCAAACAGACCGGCAAAAACTTGCCAAGATACAGATGTGTCTCAGTGAAATTGAGTCACTCACTGCTGCCATGACAGAACTTGAAACAGCTTTAGGTTCAGAGTGCAAAGATATAAATCAATCTTCCCTCAGCCATACTTCCCAAACAATCACCAATCTTCTCTCCCCAAGGTATCTCTTGCAGGCTGAAGCTTGTTACAGTCAAGCCTTGCCTGAAAACCAAACAGAATATACAAATTCATTCTTCACTAGGCCCATGATTGACAGGCATTCCAAATCAAGATCACCTCTTAAGAGGCAAAAAAGAACAAACACACCAGCAAGTCAATCAACACATTCCAAATCAGTAGGACACTCAATAGTGTGGTCTTCCAAATTAGATAAATATGCAAACTCATTAGCAAATACAATTATTAAAGCTGGTCAGGTAGAGTATCTCTCAAATGTCAAGAAAGGCACAAATGCAGCCCTGTCTTTTGTAGACAACGAGGTATTTTTAAAGCTACATAGTTCTGAACTTAAGCTTGAAGAGGTAGCAGTTGCACTCCAGCACAAGCAAAAAAGATTCCATGATGTGTTTGAGGGCCACCTGAAAAGAGTTGTACAAAGACTGTCTGAAGTACTGGTACATGAAAACAATGGGCGGGTAAAATCTGACAAGGAGAGAAATCGGAAGGCTGGCCTGTGTGTTGACGACGGTAATGCGTTTGGCAGCTTCACCGAAGTTGTCTCATTGGCACCAGAAGATGTTGATGTTGTGGGCATCATAGATTCAGTGGGTCCAGAACTAGTGTCGTATGCAAAGCAGATAACTTTGCAGGAAGCTAGAGGGACCTCTGTGAGTGTGGTTGAGGGCCAGATGCTGCTTGTCGAAGTCTTTCACTTGCTACAGGTCAGGATCTGTGACTTCCTGAAAAAAGTCTCCCTAGAGCGCAGCACTTGCCAGGTTGTTCTTAGAGCTCTTAGTGATGTCGGAAACAAGAGATACGCCCTCATTGAGAGCCTGATGGAAGAGGAGCTGGTCATGGTCAAGGAGGAGCTCCTACAGTGTTACCAGAATGCTGTGGCTAATGTTGGAGAAGGGAAAGATGGGCCCTGTGGAGAGGGAGAGGATCTTCAACCCATTCTGGGCGATTACGTCGGTCTCTTGGGAAGTCTGTTGATCAGGAAGGTTGTTGTTGGTGGTCTGGTGCAGCACGTGTTAGAGCAAATACCACACCGGTACAGCTCTGAAAATATTACCTTGAATGAGCATGATCTGGACCTGACAGCTGGGAGCCTTGAACAAGTTGGGCCTGAACACATTGTTTCCCGTATTCCTGAACCAGTCAGTGCTGAATATGAAAACATGGCTATCTCATTGGCAGACGCTGCCATAGAGCATGCTGAGAGTGCACATTTCTCCACCCGGTTTCAGGATGAGTGGGAGTTGATAATGCAGAAGGGGCGTTACAGTCCCATCGAAAATATCACAACCGAGCATGCCCGGAACCTGGCCGAGGTCCGGCGACGTTATGAAGCCCAGCTTCAGGCAGAAGAGTTGCAGCATGAACAGGAGTTGAGCACTCTACAGGAAAAGTATAGGGAAGCGCTCTTTAAAGTAGAAGAACTGGAAGCGAAGTTGGAGGGGTTGCAAGTCAGACGTGCCAGCAAACCACAGATCACCTTGACCCTGGAGGAAGACTTGAACGACATGCTGGATGACCTGGTGGCAAACCGTCTGAGAGAGATTCTGGCAGAACTGGAGGGCACCAGGGAAAAGCTTGTCAATGCTAATGAGGAGATGGCAGCCGTCAAGACGGAACACGTTAGGGAAGTGGATGCCATCACCGATGTCATGGAGAACATGGAGCGGCAGTACCAGGCAGAGATACAGACTCTGAAGACAGCTCATAGGGAGATGGTCTCAAATCTGCAGCAGGATTTTCAGGACCGGCTGAAGCAACTGAAGAAGGACCAGTCACTTGAGATGACCCAGTTGAATCGCCAGCAGGTCAACGAAAACCTACAGACTGAGCCTACTGTGGCAACAAGTCCTGACAAGATGGGTCAGGTAAGAACCAGTCGGGACTGGTTTATCCCACTGACATGTTGTGGACTGGTTTGGATGTTATCCAGTGCTCGGTTGCATCGTTCCCTCCCTGCTACTGTCGTGAACCTCTGGTCCCCGAATGAATTCCGTCTCCCTCCCTTTTTTTCCCTTGGGCTGCCGCATGCATGTTAGCTGACAGTCAGTGTTTCTACAACTCGAGCCGTGGCTGACAACTAAGAAGCTTCATAGCTGCCACCAGCATTCCAGTTTTTCATGCCTCACCCTCTAGTTTTGGAACACCCTCTGCTTTCCCTCACTTTTCCCTGGCATGGCTGTGACCATGCATGCTGACATGCACAGCACTGGCTTCATAAGCCCTGAGCATGTGCACGGTGGCGTAAGCCTGTTACCTTGGTAACACAACAGTTTCTGCAGTACTGTTACACTTATCAACACTCACTGTGAGTTCTAACTGCCCGAGACGTCGTGAGTTATTAGCATGTACATGTAGTCTTTGTGGCATGTATCGTGTAATATCCTATATACATATATTTATATATATCGCAGTGCTGTCTCCACAATCAGCGTTTGTCAGCATAATTTTTATTTTGCTTCTATGCAACAAGCAGCAGTGGCATGAACAATTTTATGTTCTGATATAACTCATAATAAATGCATAATGTGCTGGTGTACTAACATTGGTGTTCAGTGTTGTTTTGTCAAATTGAAGGCATTGATCTGTGTTTAAGGCCATGTCCCAATTACATGGCTATGGCTGGAAATACATGTACTTCTATGGGAAATGGCTGCAGCTGCTAGCCATTGGCCACCATGTTGTCAACCGTAGCCAAAGACGTGTAATTCAGACAGTGGCTTAACATGGAACACAATGCTTTGTATTGTTGGAAGGTCTAGATGGAGTTTGGTATGATGCCAAGAAGCAAAACCTTTCCTTTTGCCATCAAACAGTAAGTTGTGCGCCCACAGCTAGATTTTGGAATTTGGACAAGTTGCAAAGAAAGCTGACTAGTTTAGGTTCTCTGCATTGAGGATTGCGAGTCTGATTTTGCTTTGACGCTGGAGGTGCAAGGTTAAGGTGCAAATTTCTTAAGGCATCATTTCAGAGTAGCATCAAGACCTGTTCGGTGTTAGTGATGATTGTTTATTGGTTATTCTTTCATTTGTGTACATGTACATTACTGTTGGTACTCGGTGTCATTTTCCCTTGAATACAGCATTGTTACAGAACCCACAGATGTCATTGCTGTACCTTCTTGTCTAAACTTTGTTGTCGTCTTCATTGCAGAAAACTGTAATATGATTTTACTTTATAATAAAAAGCTGGTTCTTTCCTGCTTATGGGATTTATTTTGTAGTAATTTGAAAAGGCAGTTTACATTGAAAGTGCTGTTGTGTTTTTCTTTGGGATTCGTTTAATGTACTTCAGAGCTCCATTCAGGACATGCGCTCGAGAAGGAGTTCCCATAAGGGAACTTTTCTCTTATCCTGCCTTATTTGACTTACTGGGTGTAGCTATTCAGGACTGTAACAAAAACACTTGAAAGCCACCTTTCCAAAGCAGCTTTTAGAGAGTAGATTAGTTGGTCATAAGCTGTGAGCGTGCAGAGAAATTTTGACTTGTACATAGGATTTGTGTTGATTCTAATGGATATGCATGTATTATTAATTGACCCATTAGTTCTTTCAAACCTGCATGTTCATTATACCATCCATAGCTTATAATACATGTGTTGCCTCTTACCATTCATTTGCATGGTCAGTGGTTCAGTGTCATTGCTGCCACCCTGTATCAGCCCACAGTAATAATAATCTCATAATCCCTCTGTACACGTAAATTAGGAAGGAGTGGACATTGCTCCCCTTCCTTTTTCACCTTGGAAGAAAATTTTGGATGAAATCCGTAAGGGCAGTTGTTTGCCAGACACGCAAAGCCATGTCTCATCCTTCGTGGATCAGATATGGGTTGGAAAACTTCATCTTGTGAGTAGAATTTGTCAGTTTCTTGTTCCTGCTGTTTATTTTCCTATAAAGAGCTTCAGACAGAACATTGAGTCATCCCCATAACCCTTCCTTGCCCATCATAGGCAAACAAGAGCAATATTGTGCACTACTGGGTTTGGTAGTTGTTGGAACTACACACGTACTGAATTATAGTTATGTCGGGATCCAGTAGATTGTGGGGACACAAAAGACTCCTGTAATCTGCTATAAAATGTCATAACTAGAGAAATTGTCCCTTTAATGTGAGGCCAACCTACATCATCCTTCTGTCCTCTGGCAGAGATGTTGGCAACTAGAGCATTTGACAAAATGTTGAGGTCCTTCCCACTTGAATTGTATTGGGCGAAGGATTAGAAGATGTCTGTTTCTTTTGCGTAGATGCTTGTTCATGCTTGAAGTGTGTTACTTTTGAAGCTAGCAGTGCTCGCATGGTAATTACATGTATTTTCCCAAAATGGTATTTGACCTTGCAAAACTCATTCTAAGATACGTAATAATCTTTTGAAAAATATTGTGCACGTCTGCTTTGATATGTAGATAGAAGCTTAGAAATGTTTGCAATCAACTTTCTTTAAAAAACAACAGCCAACAACAGCGACAGAGCAAAAATGCTGTACATGTTTGTATGTACCAAGATATTGGCACCGTACTTACAGAGAGCTGAGTAACCCACAAACATTGCTGGGTTGACATCCATTCTTTGAATAAGCATGGAGGTTTAGCATGTCGGATATTGCTGTAACACAAACATAACCGCCGTTCATGGTTCATTGCATTGGGAAAAACAGACGTAGGAAAGACCTGATGGCAGATTAATATTGCGAACTGTGAACAAACTGGGCGACAGACAGGGTGACATACAGGCTGGCACACAGGGACCCAACTGGCTGAACTGAATGACCAATGGACATTGACAGTTATGTTGCTTGCAGTCAGATGGTAATTTGTGCATTGGGAAAAACAGTTGCAGTGATCTTGACTGCAATCATGCTGAGAGGGTTTGCTGATGGAATACCTCTGTGCCAATATCTGCAATGTTTCTGAATGGCTGAGTAAAGCACATCAAATCAGAGGACAGTTTCCTTTCATTAGCAATGGTAATAGCTGTTGCTCTGCTCTCGTGTAGACTGTTCATTCAAACGAAGTCATGGAAAAATCACTGAAAGAGAATTTGTTTAAATAGTATTTTCTGAACAATCGTTTCTTGTACCTTGAGCGATTTTTCTCACTTGTTTTTCTGTGTCTGCTGATTTGGTACACTTTTGTTGTTACACTTCCTTGTATTGCCTCTTGAAGGAAGTATGTCTTGTGTTTATCTTGAAGAGATTGCTTAATCTGCAGCTTATCTGGAAGAGTCATTTTATTTTTGTCAGGATGTTTATTTGGTCTGCCATAACCTACATGTATGCTTGCAGCTTTTACCTTCCTCTTGTAATACACCCCGCACACTGTTGTATGTGAAGATGTGTACATGTATGTGCATTCTGTTGTGCTTTGAATTTTTATCGTGCATGAAGACAGTTGACCAACTCCCAATGCTCGGGATAATGACCAGTGATGTTATTTTTGCAAATCACACTGGTTTTCAACCCGTCATTTACTCTAGAATTTAACATGAACCCCGTCTGTAGAATGGCACTGTTCATGATCAAGATGATAGCGATTAGCAAACTATTTAACTGTCATCCAATATTGCGTTGGCGAATGTAAAGTAATTGTGCTGTACAAGTAGAGCACAGCCGACGCGGTCTCTTCGCACGCAGAGCAGTCAAATGAATCTTGGCGTGGCTGGGTGATCTCTTTTAATATTTTCACACCACACAGTTACCTGTTTGCTGTCACTGGTCGACATCTTGAGGTTTGGGGCTTTGGTAGACTGCTGTGCAGTCTGTTCACATGCTGATTGTTCTAACTGTGTTTCTGTTTCCCTCCCCCCTTTTCTGTTCCCTTGATTCTGGGTTCATGGACATTTCACGACGAAATTTTTCTCTTTACTTCCTGATTACAATTCTCCCTACGCACATTGAATGTTTGCTTTTTTGTGCTATCCATCATCGCACCACTCTGACCTTCCATAATCACTACTTTTACCCTGTTGACCTTCCAATCCATGTTTTGTTCTCTCGACCGTCTTGTTGGTGCCTTTTCTCTCCTATGTATCGCCTTAACCTCTTTCATAAAACATCTCATCTCAACCACCTCTTCATCTTTTTCCCCGAACGCCCCTCTCACATTTATCATGCTGTCTATTTCATGAAAAAATTTTCATCTCATCTTTTTCTCCTCTGGCTACTTCTTTCTGGATCCCCTGTTTGCTCTCCCCCAAACTCACCAACCCTATCCCTTGTCCACCTCTCAAATGAATCTGCCGCCACTAAAACACTCTCTATTCCTCCCCTGGTCTTGTTTCTTTGGCTCCTCTGCTGTCATCTTCCCTCCATTTGAAAAATCCTTCCCATCTCCCCACCCTCCCCTCCCCAAACAGGCGAGGAACAACGGTGACTTGGTGCTGCAGGAGAAGTCTCACCGGGAGATCTTGGAGGAGATGAGACGATCACACAACCAGGAGATCAAGGCGCTTGAGGAGGAGAAAGAGAAGGAACTGGACGAAGAGCGAAAAGCCACCAAAATCAGTAAGTCCCTGTCAGCTCTTGCCGCATCCTTTTAAGTTCAGAATTTCACATAGTTTTACCTTCATTCCTGTTCTTGTCAGGCTATTTGAAGCAAGATATGGGACGGAGAGGAACCCCCCCCCGCCTTTGTTTTGGTCATTGTTTTATCAGAATCTCAGGAATTCTTTACAGACTTCTAGGGGGGATGTGTTAGGTAACAATAGTCTAGAGTGTGTATAGGGATTGGACAGGTAAGGAGGGGTATCCCTCCATCCCATATCTTGCCTGGTATATGTCAGGCTCCGTACTTCTGCAAAGCTGTCAACTCTTTTCCAACATACACTGGTCTGAAGTATTAGCTGAAGGAACGGCTCCTGCCTTTGATAGAAATGCTCCACGTGTTTCCATCGTTTCCTTGCTCTTTTCACTGTTAGTGCTTGGAAACAAAAGCAATAAAGTAGAGAGCTCTTGAATCAACTTGTATCGAATGGATGCCCTTGAGCTCAATTTTCTGTGAAAAAACTTATAAAGACTTAACTACAAGCAGATGCCATTTGAAAAAAAGTGCCGCTAAAAAGAAAAGAATTTAACACAGATCTTGGAGAGGTGGATGTTCAAAATGCTCATGCTGAAATAAAAGTGTTCTGTCAGTGCACAGCGCATATTGTAAGCTGTTCCTTTTCCTTGAAGTTAGCCATGTAGGAGTGTGAGATGCCGCCGTGTTTCTATCTACTGCTATACACAGCTGAGTTAAGATAGGGGCAGTTTGCTATGGTTATCTTTCATCAAAACCCCTTCTTGTCACAGGCTTGTAGGAATTTTCTTGAAAGTCCTCTGAAATCATTCAAAATCCAGTTTTCAAGGATTCAGAAAGATAAAGGCAAACCACTTTTTGACACGGAACTCAATGCCTCTGGAAAGCTACTTGTACACTTATAAAGAAAATGTCTATGGTTTTATACGCAGTAGAAGATTTTGGATGTTTCAGAAAGGCTCTTAACCAAAAAGTGCAGGGTTGAAGGGTTCGATGGTGAAACTGAAAAATTGGACTTTGCCAAATAGTGTCAACATGAGGATGAAGATTATCATTGTCATTATGAACAGTCAGAGCTTGTGTACTCAACTTTGCAAGTTTTTTCTTTTGTTGCATTTACAGAAGTAAAAGTTTTTGAAAAACAGTCTGGTGTATTTGAGAAGTTTCTTTTTTTTTCAGTGACATACATATGGAGAGCTGTCATTCTAATTTCACTTTTAGTGTACCTTGCATTCCTCTGTATGTTTTATCCTGTGCATTGAAGGACTGAACAGTTTGCACTTGCGTGGATTTGGTTTTTTTAAAAAATACTTTCTTAACCATTTAATCCCTGCCCAAATACACTCCCGATGTATACAATCACCACGTAGCCATTGCAATGATGAAGAAAACCCACAAGGATGAGTTGGAGAAGGAGAAACAGATGCTCCGACAGATGCTCTCCAAGGAGGGAGGTGCACCCCTCCCGCCCCTGGCCAAGAAGGACAAGAAGCATGTCAAGCCCTCCAAACGAGCCACCGGTTTGTTGACAGCCAGTCCCTGAAGTTCAAAATCATTGCCGCTTCTTGGGCTCTTTAGTTTTCCCGCCAGCTTCTGCGGCTGCAGATGGCTGTACTTCCAGGCCAGTCGAGTAGTTTGCACTGAGATGCCGCCCTCTATGGTGCACGCGAAGGGGTGCTGAGGAAACTAACAATGTCTTGCAATGCGTGGTCACATTTCTAAGCTTATACTCTATTAAAAAAATGAAACTTCATATTAAAGGAAAGTTAAAGAAATAAATGAAGTTGAAAAATAGATATATATAAGAGAAAACTGATGAGTGGAAGGGGCTTCTTAGTTCCCATTTGTTAATGTCCAACTTTTGACTCAGTATGGGCTGTTGATACTGGCTTCTGTTTTATGCACAACTGTTCCTTGATTTCTGTGGTCATATGAAAGTTGCTCGGTAATTGGTTTTTCAGGTACATTACTGGGATGAAATTTTCTCCAACTGTGTTTAGCTTACACACACTGTGTGTGGATATCTGGTGATTTAAAAGGGAAAATAGAGGGTTTCTTTTCCAGTTACCTGAATTTGTTTTGTCCCTGCACCCACTCTCACTCTCTCCCTAAACTCTCTGATTTTCCTTTCATCTTCACCCTTTCTTGTTTGCTTTATTGTAGTTGTTTGTAGTTGCTCTTGTTCAATGATCAACAGTGAACAATTCCACAAGGATCAAAATATCATGCCCTGTCTAAGTCTAATGGTTTTTTGCATTGAACCAGTGACCCGACTTCTAAATTTTTTTGGCTGGCTTCTGAAAAGCAGTATAGAGCATACAGCGTTGTTTGAGCACACAGCAGTTAGAGTGAATGCCACCCTATCTGCTTTTATTCTTCAGAATTGATAGCAACATTGTAGCATTCTAGATCACAACTTGTGTTTGCTTTTACACCTGTTACTGCTTGTAGTTTCTTTTCGCATAGACTCTCATTTTTTAAAATATAAATTGGGTATCTCGTCTACACTGTCTCTGCACAAATATAAAGTTCCTTATCCCTTTTTACAGTCCTTAGTAGAATTTTTATGTACTTGATAGGATGTAAGATCAATTCTGGCACAGAGTCACTCTTTTCAACACAACTGTTGACGTAATGAAGACTTGGCTTCATGTTTAATGTCATACAAGATGGAATCTGCCACTGTAGCACGTCCAGGTCCTTAATGCAAGAGAGCCAACAAGATGTGTCATTTAATTCCTCCCTAGAGAGCATTTCCAATCTTTTAGCACCTATTAATTTGGATTACACCCTGAGAGGCTTTTAAGTCACTTCATAGATTAGCTGCTGTGGAAGACGATTTGCATTTCTTGATTTCTGCAGAAAAAAAATTCAGTACATTTCCTGGTCAGATGATTACGAATTTGGGCGTACAATAAAATTGTTTGTTTCTGCATTACAGTTTCATAAATGGTGGTTTACAATTTAATGGTCAGGTTAAGAGTACCATTTACTGGTGTGGTGAATGTTCTCTGGAAATCTGACTGCCCTTTGACATGAGTTTTGACCTGTGACCTTTGACCTTGCTTGATCCTCAGGTATAACAGCTCTGCACAAGGCCCACAAGCAGGAACTGGAGCAGCAGCGTGCTGACATGCTGCAGAATGTATCCAATGATGTGGAAGTGGTCATGAAACGACACAGGTAAGAGGACCAATTTGGATCATATAGTCTCTCATGTGAGATAGTAACATGGAAATGATAATCTTGACAGAAACTGCATTGGATACATTGAAATATATGGGTTGCTCTCGTACGTGGCAGATTTTTCAGGCGTGAAAGTAAAGATTCAGAATCTTCGGATCTACAGTGGTTGGGAAAGTCAGTTGAAGGAATGACTTTATTGGCACCTCAAAACAGACTGGTTTTAAGTTAAAAACCTGCAAAACTTCAAAAAATAAGTTATTATTTATCTGTGTCGGTGGTTTTCACTTTAACTTCATCCTTGACCTTTATTGATTCATTTATGACAACATTACTAACGCTGGTATGTTTTCCCAACAAATGATCGTCAACCTTTCGTGTGGATTGTTTCCTTGCATACAACTTTTATTAGGTCAACTTGCACGATTGTGCTCTCAGGTCAGTTTGAATGTACAGCATTGATGTCGAAGAACAGTTCCAAATGGTGCAGTAATGCTGCGTTGCACGATTTGTAGGATGTGTATTCACTGTACATTTCACCGTTTCAAATTCTTGAAAGATAAAAGTGTACACCGAATGGACTAGGTGCACCACCTGTAGAATATGTTTTCACTGTTTTTTCTTCAAGAATGAAGTGATCTGTGATATATTGCATGACAGAATTGTTCATCACTGTCCTCTTTGTGATGTGTTCTTGTAGCATCTGTCATCACAAAATCTCTTTGTCATATTTTCAATATGTGCTTCAGTCACACAGGTGTTTTTTTTTTATTTCATACTTTTGTGATCACATCTGGACTGCTTCTGTCGAATTGTTATTTTATCAACTGTTCACAAGGAGACCTGTATGTTCTTTGTATTTGTCAAGCACTGTTGTCCATTGTGGCTGGATATGATCCAGAATGCTTGACTGTTTTCTGACACCTTTCATGCGCCAGGAGTATTGGCTGTTAACTCTTCAGATCGTAACTCCAAGTGCCGTCTGATTGAGAAAAAAAAAACATTGTCTTCTTTTTAGAACTTCTTACCTTTGACTCAAGATCATTCGCAGGATTATTTTCTGTAACTCTGTATTGCCTTTTGCAATATCCAATATCAATTGACCGTGTTGTCCTAATGTTGTTTTACAGTTTGAAAATGCTTTTTCTCGTAAAACAATGAGTTTTCTCTCTGGCCACCCAGGGAGGTAATCACCAAGATGGACCAGGAGTGGCAGATCATCTCAGACAAGTTCACCCATGTCTGTGCGGAGAACAACAGCCTCAAGAAGCAGGTAGAGACTCTGCAGAAAAGCCTCTCTGAGAGCCTGCAGGAGCTGAAGTCCTGGCGGGCTCAGGTCCGCCAGCTGATTGGCCAGAAGGCAGAGGACATGGCGGCCTTGAAGGAGCAGATTGGAGAAGGGAGCAGGGGAGGCAGTGATGGGGATGAGGGTGGGAACCAGGAGGATTGGGGAGTGGACAGCAACGACAATGAGAGGAACCCCTTGCAGGTTGGTTTGGGAGTTTGGGGGATTGCAGGGCTCAAGTTATTTTCTACAGATCTTGCTTGGGCTCTCATTTAATGGATGTGGGGAAAATGCTTGGCAGAAAAAGGTCACCAGCTAAAATGTTGTTTGGTGTGATTTGTTTTAGTTTTAAAATGTGCTCAGCAGGCTACCTTGCTGAACAACATTTTTTCCCAAGGAGTGCAAGAAAATTTCACCAGTTAGACCATTTTGGTTGGAGCACTCCCTACTCTGGCGTTGTTTTTCACCAAGAGTGAAGCTTGGGTTAGCTCTCCTCTTTCTTTTGAAAAGGCAGAGTTGGACAGTCTATGGTGAAATCATCATTGAAAGTTTAGCTTTTGGCTTGGTATCAACATTGCTGATGAGTGGTTGCATTCGTGTGGAGAATGTTTGAATTAAATATAACTGCTTTTGTGCTCCTGAAGTGGGAAACTCTTACACTGAGTATCATCTTTGCCTTTATCTTTGGTAGGTGTTGCTAAGATTTCGGGAAGCTGAATTGAAGTGCACCAATGATGAGATTAACCAGCTTACAGAGGCTGTAGAAAAGGCTGAAAGGGTAGGGTAGAAAAAAATGTTGTGATGGGATTTTAAATCACTTTAACCTGCTAGCGTTGTTTTGAATCCTTCTTGAATTGAAAAATCTGGACTTTGCTTCAGAGCCTTGAAAGTGTCGGTAAAATGTGACAGATTTCTCCATCAGACCTGACCTTCTCTTATCGCTGCGACAAACCTCCCCTATATCCCCACAGCAACAGACCAAAGTGCTGGAGCAGAATGTGTTCCTGGAGGGGCAGCACCAGTCACAAGAGGAGCACATCAAGCAGCTGATGGTGGCCCTGGAGGAGCTACAGCACCAGGTGGAGGTGGTGCGCACCAGCGGGGAGGGCCAAGCTGCCCAGGACCAGGTGGCAGAGACGGAAGCGGCATCAGCGGCCAGATCCGGGCACGGCAGCGGCGAGGCCAAGCAAGACGTCAGGCTCAGGTCATGGATTCCGTTCCTGAAGAGAGGTGAGATGATGAGAGCTCTTTTTGTTGTGTGTTTCAAATTTATCTTTGGAAAGCAAAGGATATGCAGTGAGGAGAAGAGTTAGGAGCCTCAGAACCCAGACCTTGGCTCCAGCCAAGCAATCTGTTGGGAGCCAATATAAGGCCCCTTGAGACAAGGAAGGGGGGCATAGCACACCATTGACTGTACTTGAGTGTATTACTCATGTGAACTCAAATATTTTCCTGAGGGTAGAATGGGGGCGGGGTGTTACAAACCCGACCCCCAGTTAAGCAAGAGTATACTCACTCAGACTGGGAATAAATCCTGGCATCGCATGGTAATTATTAAATGGTGGAAAGGTAGCTGTTGATGGTTAGCGTGATGTGATCCGAGACTAATGCGCGAGCAACAGTTCCTGCACCTGTGAGTAATCAAGGGCAATGCATGCATAAACACAGCCACATCAATGTGATGTGGCACGACATGGCCCTCAAATGCGAGGAGGACTTTGGACACACTGGATCCGTGGAAGCCAAGTTGAAAAAAGGCAGAGGCTGACATGCCCTTTCCATACATGTTCACAAGTATGAGTCAGGACTAGAGAGCCCTAAGAGATGTGATCTTTTTTCTCTTTATTTCCTGCGTGTCTTTGTCTTGTGGACACGTGGAAACGATTGAGTCTCAACCTGGGGATGAAAACAACAGTCAGAAGACTCTGTCAGAAAACACAGAGCAGCAGTGCCATTCGTTGTATCTGAATACTGTCTGGTTTGCTTTGAAAGACCGGTAGACCGAAGAAGTCGTACTCAATGTTTATGTATTGATTTATCTCCCTTCAGAGCGAAGTGACTCGACTGGAAAAGGATCCAGAAGAAGGGCCGGGTCTGATGGGACCCAGTCAGCTGCCAAACTCAAGGTGGGATTCTCATGTTCTCTCTGATTAGTGAGAAAACTTGCCCCCCCCCATTGTAAAATGTAATTCACACTAAGATTGTACACTTTACTGCATTCACATTATATCAATTGTAAGACCATACCCTAGTAGTTCACCATTAAGTATACTTTAATTTATACACTGTAATATGGTTTTTTTTTATTAACTTTGCTTGCTTTTACTTGATCTATTATGGATTTGTGTATTTAGCACAGTAGCATAGAATGTTTAGGCACTGGTCACTGTTGCTGTGAAATCAGAATAAGTTGAGCGAAATTTAAAATTTGACGTTTCTTGCGTTGTGCAGAAGGGTGCTGCCACGACAGAATGAACTCTGGAAATCTCAGACTGAAATCTTGGACAACTCTCACCGACCGACCAACCTGCAGAGGAATCCTAAGGATGGCACGCGTCAAGGCCCCATATATGTAGGAGAAACTTGTCAGCATGCATGGCCTGCCCTTGGTTCTTTGTGCCAGGTCTCCAAGGACCCGTAAAGATGATGCCTGTCGCTCACCAGAGACTGCCTCAGCGTAGGCACCGGTTGTCCCTGTATCGGGAAAGGATAGAGGGGAGGGATGAAATATGGAGGGTAGGGGTTGATCAGAAGTGTGTATTCTCACGATCTGTGACAACCAACGTCCACGTAGTAGAGCTGACCAATGCCATTGTGAAAGACAATGTTGAATATAATTTTTGTTTTCCAAAGCAATTTAGAAAGCTTGTTTGTAATTTCTACCTCAAGTCGGATGCCAGATGAAAGCAACTGATGAGTGCCTTGATTTCAAAGTTGGGGGAAGAACTTTGGAAATGCCGCTGGGTGCATGCCTCGTGATTTTGATGCTGGTTGCAGTTACTTTAAGGAAATCATTCAATCTTAGCAGTGCCCTGCGAGTGGCTTTATCTCCATTTATCTTAGTCCTGGGGAAATAAGATCACCTGTCTGAATGTTATGCTTATCTGGCAGTGATCACGTGCACTTCTTTAAGCCACTGGGCAGTCACCGGACATGTGTAATGTTATAGTCACAACTATGCAAGTCAAATGAAGTCGGGTAAAGAAATAACAGCAAATACTTCTAGGGCACTGCTAAGGATAAGGAAAATTGCATAGTTTGAAAGCCACTTACTGTCGCTGACATATTTGTATGTCACCAGGACAAGCGGTCTGCTCCTTCTGCCATTTGTTCCCTCCAAGTGCAGTGCTAAATTGAAAATAAACATCCATGATCGTAATCCTATACACTATCACCTTGTCAAACGAGCACAAAATCTTGTATACGTCATGGGTAAATAAAGATGTTATTGGTTTTAGTGTAAATTTGGATCAACTATTTTTATCATTGTAAAACACAGTTCTTTGAGGAGGACTTCATGTGAATGTACGTACAGCAGTTGGAGTTGGCAATTCCTTCTTGTGAGTCGGCTTAATTGGTTGGTTGGTCATGTTGTTTATCATGAAATGTTATTTGAATAATTACAACAGTGTGCTTACTGAACAGACATCATTCTTTGTTAGTCACATTGAAACTGTTTAAGCAGGGTGTGATTTTAAAATTAATTTCGTCCAGAAGGGGTGGGGAGAGGGAATTTTGGGTATTTTGCCCAAGTTCCGTCTCCATATTGGGTTGTTTCATGGTCAGAAATAATACAACAGGGCCAGAGCCATTGGTTTGGCTTTAGGGTCGCAGAGTGCTACTGGAACTAAGGCTTTGTTCAAATTACTTGGCTGCGGCTTGAAGTTACACGCAATTCTATGGCAGTGGCTGCAGTCACTTTGCTTGGAGTCGTGCGTATGTGTAAATTTCAAGCTGCAGCCTAGCAATTCATCTAGGCATATGAAGGGAGCTGAAACTTAGGTCTGGGGTTTGGGAAAAGAGACGCTTCAATCTTGTTCCCAGAATAGAAATAAGTATCCACCAAATCTATGCTGTAAGTTACCAGTCTAAATGTGCGAAAGGCTTGCTGTTGGATTTTGTAGACCTGCATGAAGATATAGCCCAAGGGTGTTTGTCAGTGCCTGGCTTTGTCTCCATCTGAGGCTTTGTCGCTGAAATCAAAACCGGTTGTGGACCCATAATGTTCAAATTAAGTAAAAAATAGTACATCTGTGCTTGGATCGATAACTTGTATTCTGATATGCCATTATTGAGCTAATGCCTTTAAAGTCGGGGGCCAAAAACCATGCAAAGCTTGAGATGGAGCCGGGTATTGGCACACTCCCTGTGTGTCAATGTCATACTAAGTTATTTGTCAAGGATTGTGAAGGAGAAGAGGGTTTAGCTGTATGCAGATGACCATATAGCAATTCGCAGTGCTTTGTTTTGCAAGCATCTTCTATTTCTGTACATTATGCCTAGTGACTGTTCTTCTCTATGCAACGAGTCAGTCTAGAACAATCAGTTAGGACCAAACAAGGGCACAGAAGCTTGTTTTGGTTTGGTCATAGTGTTTCCCAGTCAGCGAATCAGATTGCTTTTGTTACCAGCATACTGCATTCACTCCATCCGGATAAAGTGCTTGAGCACGTAGGTAATGATCTCGCGTCAGTTCATTTTTAAATGTCCAACGTGAATTTAGGTGGCAGTTTTTAGCTCGCATCCGCTCGGTTTTGTTTTACGCTTTTTTACATGAGAGTTCGACCAGTTTTGAGTTTCAAGAGAAAGAGCTAGCGCTGTAGCCTAGCGTATTAGTAATTTGTACAGAAATACAGCCGTAAACTGTGCCTTGGAAGGGTTTTTGTGCTAATATATTTTATATAAAAAAGAGTTGCTTCCATAAATGAATCATGTTTTTTAATGAGATAAAATGTTTGTATTCTTCACGTGTTATGTGGTAGTTACATGCAATGTGCTATCGTGGTTGTTGTTAGCAACATGTATGTCGGGAGGAGGGGGGAATAGGGTAAAATGACAGGGAAATGGGCGGGATATGTCCCTGGACCATCATAGAGGAGCCTTGAAAACACATTCATAAATACCTGAGACAGTTTAGCCATTGTTTGTTGTTGAGAGCCCATCGGACAGCCGGTCTTAAATGGTTGATAGAGCACCAGCAGGCTGTGTACCAATCTCAGGAGATTGTTTATAACAACTTACAAGAGGAACACACCATGACATGGCTAGAGCAATGTTTGAAAAACTTGTTTTCTTCCGAAACATACTCAAAATGATGACTGGGAATAAATATGTGCTTCGTCAGTCTTGAATGTCATTTATGACCTGCTCAGGAGAATGGGTGCTGAAAATGCCTGAGCCCAAGGCGAGGGGCAATATCAGAATCCATTCTCTGAGTTGGTCTTAGTCAATGTTTTTGACAGGCCAAGCGCATGTCCTAGTAATAAAATTGTGTCATCTACATTTTGCAGGTGTTTCTTGAAAGGCTTCCCAGAAAATGGGTGGGGAGTTCAAACAGCAGCCTGTTTCCAAAGACCTGTTACAGTTTAATCCTTTGAGATACATATGTCCAGTGCTCTAGCAACACTTGTATCAATCCAATCAATGCATATTTTCAATTATATTCATTCTTTTCTGTTGGTATGCATGAGCTAACTTGCCAAAATGCAGGGTTTTCCTTTCCATAGCAGGGCATGGGTTTTTACTTCTGATGTCCAGTGTTGTCGTCATACCATCTCAAGGCCAGACACAAGACCATTCACAGGGTCAGTCACAAGTTACAGCGTGAATGACAAGGGGATGCATGTGTTGCATTTCATTTGAATAGCTTGTGATTTAATTTAAATACAGACTGGAGGTCTTGTGTTGGCCTCTTTGATGGACTTGTGGGGTCTTGCTGAGGTTAAAGGGGGCCGACGACCATACTACTAATTTGGTTCAATGGTTTTTTCTATTTCTCATAAAAAAAGCACATCGTGCATAAGTTCTGGGCAGGAAAGCTTAGGAAGGATGAACAGAAGGTTTTCATGCCTTCAGTATGTGGAAAGAAGAATCCTTAACCTGGAACATTTGTAAGGTCAGAATGATATTAATGAAGGTATACTTCTGTCTGTTTTGTGCCCATGATATTGATTTGTATTTGGTTGGTTCTTGATATGAAATGTTGCTGAAACTTCTAGTCCACCACTACAAAACCGAAAGACGATTAACCCAGCATTCTACCTTTATAGGCAAACATTCAATTTCACAAGCTTGAATGGCAAATTATATTCTGAAATTGTGAAATGAATCTTAAGAATTTTTTTAGTAGTGTTGTGCTTTCAGTAAGTCTAAATTTTAAAAACTCTACTCCTGTTTTGGATGGTTTCGGAAATCTAAAAGGGCTTATTTTACCCTCGCCACCCTCAGTTTATTCACCCAATTTCATCTTGGAATGTGTCAACTGAAATTTATTCAAATGGTAAGAAAAGCCATCACCTGTGGGGGAAGATGCCTTGTAACTTGTAATAGGCTTCTTAATGTGAAGGAACACCACATTTGTTTTAGTGATGCTTAAATCGAGGTGACGGCTAATTTGTGTATTCAGGTTGTCTTGGTTTGGAGATTTCCACGTTTACCTTGTCCGACGGACGTAATACTTTAATATATAATGCATATTTCAGGCTGTTCTCTGTGTTTGTTATCAAGCTTTAAAAGGTAGAAATTCGTTCAATATACATGTTGAAATCCTTGAATCTACTTTAGGAGAGAGAAGTTTTGTATAGAAGTAGAGCATGTATTGAATAGGGTAAAATACTAATTGTTAATACACTCGCATGCGGGCATTGTTCCATTTAGATTTTTTTTTTACTACTTTAGTTAACTTATTAATAGACGCCAAGGAGCAAATTGCCTGAATTGTTTAATAATCAGGTTTCTTTTTTTTTTTTTGGTTTGTTTTTCAAGTTATACACTCACATTTAATATAGATATAACAGATTGTGTCTCACTTGTCTTGTATTTATGCTTAACTTTCAAAGAAAATAGTAAATTACTACCCATAATTTCATAAGAACATGTATACAATTGTATTAAAATGCAAATCAAATGAAAGAAATTGTTTCATTGTTTTGTTGCATTATGATACTGAAATTCATCCAAAACCTCTTGTAGAAAACCCACATTACTGACATTTTTTACAAAAGTTATGTTATATCGGGAAAACGAGAAGAACTTGGTTTTTTTTTTACAGGAGTATCATACCATTTCTAAGGGACGCTTAAAGACCATTATCGGCAAACTAAATAGGAAAAAAAGTTTGATTTGTTGATGGATGAGGTTAAAACAAGTCGGCCCCCATCTTAAATTGAAAAAGTTACTTGTAAGACTACCGAAATGTCAATAAAAATGCGCATTTATCCTGACTCCCTTTTTGTAAAGTAAAACCTTTGTATTCATACGGAGGATGAGATTGAAAGAAAAGACGCGATCCAGTTGATCTATTAACCCTAACTCCCTAGGGTGTGTGCAAAATCATATTAAAATTGGAGGATTCAGGGCTGTTAGGGTTAATTAATAATGGAGTCGGATTTTACACATTGCCCTACGGCAAAGAAGTAATTTTTGTATTGCGCCCCCTCTCTTCGACTTGTACCTGAAGCATGGTTCCCACGTACACGCGCACGTAAAGTAAGGACAAACGTGAAAAATAATGTATTGGTCTGGTACTGTTCGAAACAAGTTAAGTGATATCGTCTGCATCAGTCTACCGCTGGCTTGTCTTTTCGTAGCTTGCTGAAGTTGAGTCGGACGCGTACAAGTACAAGCACCAACCATTCGTTTGCCAGCTTTCTGTGCCTGGACGGTCTTCTGAGGAATTTTTCATGTGAAAATTTCAAGACAGCCTTGTGTCGGAGTGCTTTATGGGGATACCTGTGTGAAGAGAAACCGGTGACTCTGGAATAATAACAATCTCGCCAAATATGCTCGTTGTGACTCGAACAAATGATGGAATTAGACCAAAGTGCCGCACCGAAGCAACTGGTATTCGCTAAGGTACGAGAAGAGTACGGAACATTAGGCCTAGATGCTTAACAGTAAATTAAAAACATGTATATTTTTGTTCACCTAGCACTGCCTGTGTCACCAAAGAGTTCCATGTACGACGCCGCTTTATACCCTGTGCACAAACTCTGTGAAACTGGTCTGAAAAATTTTGTTTTCTGAGTGAACGACTTGGTTTTTTCCCTCCTAAATTGAACTTTTCTGGCATGTTCTGGGCATGGTTTTGGTTTCTGACGGCTAGTTTAGGGACTGGCGTCCGTGAATGCGTATGGAACTCTTCCCCAATAGGGCCTAGGCCTACATGATGTACATGTAGGCCTACACATGTAGGCCCAGGCCTGGATTGGGGAATAAGGACACCAGTAATTCTTCCCTACAGTGACTTAGTTCTTAGGGGCCACTCAAATTTTTCTCTGTTTTTTGAATTTTGACTTTTTTCCAAATATTTTTGACCCCCTCAATTTCGATGTAAATTCAAATACATATAAAAATCTATAATGCAACACAGTGTGACAAGATGAAGGCTGGAATTGGAAGAGCTACGGCTATGCCTACAGTCAACTGCATCCTCTATGCACTTGCATAGGCTATATATATGTATTAGAATGGAGACATAGACCTACATGTAGCTTTAGCCAACAGATTTGGATACAGTTTGCTTCTGTCCAGCTAGTCTTGGATTCAAGGTGATGAACATTTCACCGTTATTAGCAACTGGTGTTCAACGTTCACCTGTCTGTATATAGAAACAAAGTTGAAAAAGATTGCATTTTTGGAATGCTGACGCGACATGTATTTCAGGCAAGTCAGAAAAATAATTTTTTCTGGATTTTTATATAAAAAGTGAATTTCGATTTTCAAATTATTTCCTTGACCCACCCACCCACTATTAAAAAAAAAGTTGAAATTTAAAAAACATTGAAAATTTTGAGTGGCCCCTTAGGCTAATAGCCATCAGAAAGCAAAAACATATCCAGAAAAGTCACAGTTGAGGAGGGAAAATATCAAACTTTGTATACTGAGAAAAGACTTAAAATTTTTTAGACCAGTCTCATAAGGTTAGTGCACAGGGTGTCCGGATCAGATCCCGGAAGTTGACATACATGTAGCTACATCCGGTGCAAGTCTTGGAATGCGCAAAAAACAAGGCTGTGTCGTCATGAAGACCTACATGTCATGTATATGACATTGTACATGTACCGTACATACGCTGTTGGCCTGGATGCCGCGTCCGTAACCAGCGTTACACTGGTTCCCAATTAAGCTTGTGTGCTTTCGTACTGTGAGTTGGTAGTAAACGGGTACTTGCCCATTCCCATTCTCTTTCCACGTCACCTTTCTGATTTTCGTTATCACTGCATATTGCTCGTCCAAAACCTTCCACTTCCTCATTTTTCATTGTTTCATCTGAAACTACATGTACGTGTGATATGACAACGAGACCTATACAGTACATAAGTACACGAGTATGCACAATCGAGTTTCGCGCGTAATGGCTGCCGTTTTGGTGCAGTGCGTATAATCAGTGAATTGTTCACATAACCCTTGCCCCGAGGGTGCAGCGCTTCCTCGATGCTATGCGGGATCAGGATCCAGTGTAAACGCAGCACGGATCTGATCCCCCTCACTTGATTGCTCTCGTCGGATCTGATCCTCCTTTGCAGGATCAAGTGTAAATGCAGTGCACTAGAGAGTACATGAACTAAAATGCACTAATACACTAACACTACCGGTACTAATCACGTGGCTTGAAAGTATTTAAATTTTAATTTGACCGTGAGTTACAGTAACAAACATGCATACCAAGTGCCACTTTCTGAAATGCTTGAATTTCAAACTCTCATTCCTTTTTCCTGATACCGGCACATACATGTACATGTAGAATTCCCTATGGCTTGTACATACATGTATACTGTACGTACATATGTGTGGGGGCCTTTTTTTTTCCTGACATTGTTTTGGGGAATAACATACATGATCATTGTAGTTTTGCAGCCTGTTAAGAAAGATTCTGGACATCCTAAATGTGATTGTTGGTTTCCTGCACTTTACTGCACTTTTTGTTAATGGAAGAAAGTGGCGCACCAAAATGGTAACGGTATAAATTTGTGAAAAAGACAATGGCAGTAGCTGATAAGTGATTCACATTTGTAATCTGAATTCCAGTTGGTCCCCAGTGTTTTGAGATTTGATTTTGATGGCATCTTTTTCTGGAGTTATCACCCGGCTATGTCGGTAAATGTGTGGAAGCAAGCAGGTCTGATCAAAGTGAGATAGTTGTCAAGGTTGGATGGCCCTGTGTAAGCAGTCTGCAAACACTGATAGTGGTCACAATTTAATCTTAGACTATAAGTATATTTACTTGTGTAACACATACTGTACATGTACATAGATGATCGTGATACCAAAGCCGACTACTGAAAGTTTACAGGTGCATGTCAGAGATGATAATTATTAACCTTCTATATTGGCTCATTCAGAGTATTTATTAATACAGTTCAGAACAGGCTTTCCCCTTCCTGTTCAATCTCAAACTGCCCACCTTAGTCGTTTTAGTAGCACTGAAGAAAGTAAGGGAAACTAAAGGAAAAAAATTACATCAAAATTAAAAGTCTCAGGATTTTATGGAATACATGTACACATAGTTCACTGTAGATGCATTTGGTCTGGCGAGCAAAGAAGGCAACTGTGTATGTACCGGTACTTGTGCACTGTAGAAATTTTGAGGCCCCGTTTAGCAACACACATTTGCTGTGAGCAAATTATGTCCTAGTTTACAGGCCTTGGTTTACAGAATTCGAAGGCCAGTTCACACTTGGTGCAAGCTTGAACACAATAAGAAATAGGGATTTCAGATCAAATGTTTGTTTTCCGACTTCTTAAAAGCTGAACTCATTTTAACTTGTTCCAGTTTTCATTGCAAGTGTTTTGTGACATCAAGTTCACTTTGTTTCAGCATTCATCTGAAATATGGACCAATCTTAATACCGGTATTTACAGATGGATAGGGGATGGAGCATTTAGAGTCTGGTCTTGTGATGACAGATTTTAACATCTGTTTGAGACAGGCACTCTAGGGTCGTGCCAAACCAAATAGAATTAAGAGCAACGCGGGTCGATCCAATTAACATTGGGTTTCAGACAGGTTTGGCCCATGAAAATTTCTGAAACCGAGGCTGTTTTCCAATACTCAACTTCGGCTCCTTGGGATATGAATTTACCCTTGATATTAAATCTGCCAATTGACAATATCAAATATGGCACTGGTAGCATGTAAGTACAGTGTACACGTCTGCACAGAAAGGGCACGTTAGGAGAGAGAATATACATGTAGAGCATGTGCCTCATCAGTTTTACATCTGGCTACATCTTCTCAACAATAAATTAAAAATTAATAGAATAAAGCAGTAACGGGGCTGGGGGAACGGGGATGGAACGCATCATTTTTCACGACTCTGTGCTTAGAAACATTCATGTGTCATGTTATACACGTTGTCATTACAGTGTGTACATGTACGTGTACAAATACCAGTATGCTGTTACAGGCACTCTTTATTGTCAAGTGTGTGCGCTGGCTTGCAAATGAGTGCATGTACACGTACATACCTGTACATGTCCCTATTGTTACAGAGTGTCAGTAAAGCCTGCTTTGGTTTGGTTTACTTGTTTTTAAATTAAAACATACATATTTAAAATGATGACCTTGCTAAGCTCAGGAACCATGCAAACTACAGATTTGTGTCAAGACTCACAAACATGACAAGTCGTTATTGTGCTGCATGTCATAAGTGACCATGGAGGTAGAAACCAGTCCTTGGCCGGTGCCATATCATTTCGTCATGCTTCATATGCAGTCTTGGTCTTCTGTGTACATGTAACCCAGGCAACAGATGGTTAATGACCATCTCGCCAGTCTCCATGGGAACAGATTCGCTTTGTAATGAACTTGCCTCTTGTCACAAAATTACTTTTCAAAATTACTGTGTCGTTTGAATGAAAGCACCCTGTGGTTGTCAACGTTTGCATACATTTTTGTTGTATACAAGGGAATTTGGCAATTTTTTCCCCCAAAACAACTCTAAAAAGTGACTGAAAAGGGAAAAATTCTACCCTTCCTGAAAAGCCAAAAAGGACTTAAAAAACGGGTGAAAAGTTGCACGTTGAAAGGTGTGTACACACATTCTGGCCTCAGAAATATTCATGCACATGTATGTTAGCATTTTACTGTTTTGTCCAGTGTTGCATACAATTTTTTTAGGTTTTTGTAGTACATGAACTGTCCCTGATTCATCGAGAGTTATGGTGTGTGGTATTGTATACATGTTTTACATGTACATGTACATTGTACATAAATCCTTTTACATGCAATTCAAATATTCTTTCATTATTTGCTTGTACTTATTTCAATTTTCAGTAGTTTTTTTGTCTACTTGGTATACTGGTATGGTACTTGTTTTCTTTCATGTATAATTTGTCAGATTATTAGTGTTTGGTTGTCCTACATGTACATGTACGTACCCTACCGTACATTGTTTGTTTGCCATCATTAATTGCTTTTAGTCAAAATGTAGGTCTTCCCTTTTATGCCTTCAGTTGACAAGCCTTATTATGGCTGCTAATTGTTTTCTTTCATTGTGTTCATGCTGTTCTTCTGGGTTATCCTTTTTCATTTTCCTAATGTACAGTATACTGTATTTTCTTTTTTCTCTCTCTCCCTTTTTTTTTTGATTTACATGTTAGTTATGGTAGACTAGTGAAAAATGTTGGATTGAATAGAATTTACATGTAAGTGTACACTTATTGTACAGGTAATTGTTAATTATAAAGATTAGTAAAGTTAATTGTGACGATGAACTAAGAACTAAATGATGTCTGATGCAGTTGCCTCCCCCCCAAAAAAAATAATGGGAAGAACCCCCATCATAGGGCTGGGTACAGTACATGTAGCTCATTTGGTAGAGTACTGGTCCGATGTTCCGGAGGTCACAGGTTCAAATCCTGTTCTATCCCATGTCTTTGTACATACATCTTAATAATTATATGTACTTGTAAGCACTTCATGTACACATACATGTAGTTTCCGTATGGTTTGCTTGATGTACACATGCAATAGTACATGTACATGGAATGGTATAATGGTTCAATTGTATTTGCATAGGATTTTTTACATTTACTGTAATCCAACTATGAATAATATACAGGTATGAATGAATGATTTTGGCAACAAGTTTTCTGTCTATAATTTTCCTAATGGTTCCTGACAAAAGTCCCAAGGCCATCAATTAAAAACTAATTAGCCCCTGTGAAAGCTACATGTACTGGTACTGTATTTTCTTCAGTTTTGGTGACGTGGGCATCATTGAAAGACTTCTGGTTGCATTTTGGCAGGAACAAAGCAGGAATTTAATCAGCTGTTGCAGTCTGTGTACATGTACATGTATATATTTGCATGAATCACAGAATAAACACACAATTGTCTGCTACATACACATGTGTGTGCCTGGCTGGGGTTATACTTATTTCTTACAGGTACATGTACGTTCCTTTGAGGCAACAAAATTACTTAAAATCTTAAGTGCCTAAGAGCAAACCTGATTAAGTTTCATCTCGGTGAACCCTATATTCTGACAAAACGGTATTCTAAGATTTTGATTTCAGATCGAAGGTACCGGTACATGCTGAGTCATGTTTTGAATTGTACTAACTCAGCATCTGGGACACGTTCTTACATTCAGTCGAATGCAGCTACATGTACGTACAATGTACATATGTATGCATACAATGTCACACACTGAACCAAAGAATTATTGTAACTGCACCTGTTTGTTGTAAGTCAACACTTGCACGCACTTCTAATGGGGATTTCCAAAAATGCATCTTTAGATGCATCATTGGAGATGGCCTTCTTTCATTTTTCTTTCAAAACGACAGCTTGCCAGAACCGGGGGACTTATTTCACAGGGAGTTTAGTCCCATCCATTACCATCTTTAAAGAAACCAATATGCTTTAAACACTTATTTAGTCGGTTTCTTTTGGGACAAAAGTAGAACTGCAAATTCAGTTGATATACCTGTGCAATAGAAAGAATGTCTGTTCAGTATTTCCCATTGGGATACGTACATGTACGTGTACTGTTACATGAACGTAGAATTTATTGGCAGTAAGATTTTTTAAAGATTTATTAAAAACTCTTATGCAAAATTTTCCAGTGAGGTATGCATCTCCGTTTTCATATTTTATTACCGATATATGGTATTTACATTTGTTTCTTGATTTGTAACCTTCCTGTAAACCAATTTAAACTTGTGTCTATAAACTTGCTTGATTGCAGATAGAGAAAATAATTCGAGATATGCAGCACCATGAACGAGGGATCAAGACAAGGTCGCAAAAGGTGTTCCTGACATCCATCCCTTGTGCGTTTACAGGTAAATCTGTGCAGAGATTGTAGGGATTTGAACCTCTAACCAGTAAATTGTGAGACTCAGACTTTACAATCCTGCTGTTTTTATCCTCCCTCAGCTGACATGATTGCTTATTTCCCCCTTTACCCTGTCAAGTGGAAGAAGCCTCACTTTAGTTTGTAGTCGTTTCTCAAAATGTTTTTAGCAGATTTTTCTCAACATACATGTACATGTACATGTATTACATGTGTGTTGTACACAAACACGTACGTACATGTGTACAGCGCATGTGTACGTACTTTGCCCTGCGTGGAAATTGATGCTTTCAAATAGCAAACACGCACTGTGCGGCTGAATGACACCTGCCCGGAAATGCATTTTGGAAAGGGATCCCGTTTAGTAATTATTAACTCAGGGAAAGTGCCCGATTGACAAATTTGACTTGTACAAAGATGAAATAGCTTGTAATTCAAAGTTGCAGCCATGTGTGCAGTGTACATGTACATGTGTTAATAGATATTTATACATGTACTTAATGAACGAGTAGATGTACAGTAAGCATGGTAAGACAAATGCATGTAAATGTACATGCACATGCATTTGTCCTACTGTACATGTACACAAGCATTGAAGAGGGTCATTTTTACACATTGTGACTGTTGTTTCAATGGCCATTTTAATTGTAGTTTTTCATTACCTTCATGTACATGTACACGTATGTACTATACATGGATTCAATATAGCACATACATGTACATGTACATGTAGACCTACATGTACATGTACCGGTACATGTAGGTCTACATGTAGGTGTACATGTACATGTGCAGTTCTCTGTAAGCTCCCATTTTAAGGTCACCTTTTACCTGAAACGGTTCTTGGTTTTCAAATAATATAAGTTACCATGTAATTTTCTGTAAGATCCAAAAATACAAACAATTTTTTTCTGATTAAAATTGTGTGTAGGCCATAACGGTACATGTACACCCATTCATGTATCAAAATAGATGAAGTTTTTTGATTGTTTACATTTTCTAGTACATGTACATGTGCCATATTTCACTTTGTCGTTAATAAATTTAAACTTCTCTGCTGTTAATTGTGCTGTGCATTCATTGTATGCATATAGACCTTACCAGATAAAAATCTGGTTCAAAGCCTGTGTCAGTCACAGTTGCTTTTCTTTTTGTCAAAATTGAAGTTGTCCCATTTAACACACTTCTGGTTTGAAATGAAAAAACTGAGCACACCTTCATAAAATGATCAAAGCTGCCAAATTGCCCAAATTTGTGGCATTGATTTGTTATGTTGATAGAAACACTTTGTGACTTCTCTAGGCAAGCTGCAGCATGGTAAGTATGGATTTCTTGGCCTCTAAATCACAGCCAAAGAGCTAGAATCTGGAGTACAGTACCACAAGGAGTGGAAACCACCAAGTACTCAATGTTCATAACTTGGTACATTTACGTGAAGAACAAATTCACTTTTCTTTGTCTAAACCTCAGAAATGATACAGTTTATGATTTTGTAAGGGGTTTATCTGAAGAGAGTTTCAACTTATTAAATGCAGACATCCAAATAATGTATGTTTGTTGTCTTTTTTTTATCAACTGTTTATTGAAATTCTAGCATTCTGGTTCCCCCTCCACCAGGTTCAGAACTGATTGAATGGATCATGGACAAACTTCATGTTCACAACACCATAGAGGCTGTGCACATTGGCAACCTCATCTGCCAGTATGGTTATATCTTTCCCGTTCAAGACATGAAGGTGGTCGTGCTGAAGGATGACTCGGCACTTTACCGGTTCCAGAGCCCTTACTTTTGGCCCTCCCAGAGTAATTTAGATCCCGACAACACTGATTATGGTGAGTCCTTGGGCATACAATTCTCCTTCAGATGTCAAGGCTTAATGTTTTGATCGATTTCTGTACAGTAACTCCCAGAAATGTTTTATGGGGGACTAGATATGAATTGATATTTTGTAGCTGAAGCGGTACATGATGACCTGTTTCTGAGAGATCTTCAATTGTCATTCAGAACACATACATATGCAATAAGATTCAAAGGGCTCCATTGTTACACTTTTTTCATCACAGAACGGGGTCACTCCAACCAATGAAAGGTACATGTACTTGTACTTGGTAGCAGTATTTCATATCTGTCATGAAGCTTTTACCCTTGGCCCTGTGGTACATAGCCTCTTTTGTACAGAGAGCAGTTCCTGCACAGTTGTACCTGTACATATACAGTATATCTGTTCGTAGACTTGTTTCTGAGTATTTTAGTGCAAAAATAGTTCAAAGGCTCCCAGCTAGTCACTGAATCATTTTTTCATGCCAATTACTTTGTAATTTAATGCTGCCAATCCCCCACCATGCCAGTCTGGAATCATTCACTCGACTGTGCACATGATTGATGAGATTTTGAGGGCATGAAAAGTTCAAATACTGCACAGCCTGTGGAAAAAGAGGAGGGTGAAAGGGGAAAAAAATCTTGGAAATTGCACAGCGGAAATTGCACATTGACGTTATATCCATTTGGGATCATGGCTTATTACATCTTGGTACATGTGTACTGTATGTGTACTGTATGTGTACTGTCCTCAGATTGTTTGGGGGAAAACTCGAAGAAATCTTCAGAAAAAATGGCCAGTATCCTGATATTTGGTATTTTTTTCAAAAAGTAAGAGTTCAATCTTTTTAACGACGATATTACCGGATATCTTATTGTTCAAAAATTTTTGCACATACATGTACAGTTTAGTACATTGTAAATGCCTCTCAAGGAGGCAAGTTAAACATTTTGTCACCTGATATCTCTGTCAAATGGGAAATTTTTAACTTAGTACATCACCACGTGTATAAAAATAGACCACCTGGATCTTATAAAAATACTGGAGGCATGTTTTAAAGGTCTTCCTAATTTACATTTCATATTATGCAGTCAGGTAAAGTTTATTTACCGGCAGTCCTCCAAAATATGCAGCTCTGGAGTAGATTTATACTACTGTACATGTACATGTACAAGAAATTCTCAATTTGATTGGAACAAGACAAAATGAGCAAATTTGGTATTTCAAAAAAGCAAGGTCATTGAAGAGCAATGTGTCTGATGTCTCACCAGCGCGATATTTACAATCTAAGGCCAGTGTGTGTTTGTGTGAGTCGGCCGATGGCTGTGCTGATTTGGCTTGACTTTGCTTGCTTGTATTGATGTTTTTCTCAATGGGCCTGCTGTTGGAATATTGAACTGGCCCGTTGCTTGAGACTTTTGTTTAGGATCCATCTCAAGGAGATTACAAATGCATTGCAGCAGAGTTGTTGAATTGTGAGAAGGAAATTTTAGTGATAGCATTATCAAAGATCCGGTACTACTGATAGTGTAAATACATGTACATGCACCGCATTTTGGTTCCTACTGCCCCAGGTTTAGCCAGTTTTACACTGAATTGACTTAACTTAAATATATGTATTTACTCAAGTTTATGTTTATACAATTATTTATTTATTTACAAATAATTTGGATTTGTCCCCCTCCCTTTTTTTTTTTACCCGTAAGTCAGTTTTTATTATTAGTTGTTTTTTGTTCTGTTTTCCATTATACCTGTAAGTGGCGGATCTCCACTGTTGGATATCAGAATAAATAAATAAATAGATAATAAAAATGTACCGGGACATGTACATGTATGATGGCTTTTCCCATCAGAAAACTCTGGCTGTTGGGCCTGTTACAACTTTTTAAGACACTGCCCTTTTCCTGTACCAGTGAATTAAATGCATACATGGGACCAAATGATTAGTGATATTTTCATGAACATGTACAGCGTAATGGCATTTTTAAAATGTAAGAAGGTTGAAGACATAACATGTACATGAAAAGCTTCTCTTCATTAGTAATTTGCTTGACAGAAAAACCTTGCCCAAAAAGATTCCGTCCTCATGAAGGCTTGCCAACGCAGAGGCATCTTCCTCAATAATTGATCACTTTAAGCTGACATTGCATGTGCCAGTACACTCTGTGCTTACATCATCTCGGTGGAAGCCATCAAACACTCTGCCGAGAGATTACATTTTGCAGTTTCCTAGCAACCTGGCTCATTTACAGGGAAGCCAGTGGGACTTGCCAACTGGCTCAGCAGCTTTGGTGATGCTGGTCCTCCATACTTGCTGCCATTATGGTAAATAATTGAGATAGATAGAGTTCTTTTGTTTGGAAGATCAGATCTAGTGTGGACATTTTCAAATCTGGAGTTATTGTAATGTTTAGGGCAAGACCATATTGACCAGGGTAACTGAGGCCAGTGTATTAAAAGAAACACCAAAATATGCAGTTTAAAAATTTAAATCCACCTGCCCTATCTTCACTGGAATATTTATTTAATTGACACCTTTATGCTATTCATTTGGACGTACAAGTTGTGCATGGTAATCTGTAAAACCAAAAAACAAATAAACAAAAATGGGTCAGCACCCCTCATTTCAATGCAGTGGCAATCATCTTCCTTTTTTTAAGTTGGCCTAGCATTACATAAATTGTCAAATATGGAATAGATACACAGTCTGAAAAAGGGTGCTGTCACTGTGGATTGTGTATGATACATGTACATGTATGTATGGTACCGTTCTTGTACATTGGGACTTACTGCATAGCGTTTAAGCTTGTAGCTTCAGATTATAGGGTTGGGGGTTTGAATCCTAGCAGTTGGTTACATTTTGTGATCTTGGGCAAGTCACTTCATCCATACATGTACATGTACGTGCCTCTCACAACCTGTGTGGTCACCCAGTGGTACCGGTACACCCAGGATTTGTTGGAGGGGGACTTGGACCAAATTTTACCTCCCAATGAACTCCTTATGCTCAGCTCCCCATCCCTTCCCACGCCCCTTGCATTACAGGGTTATATGGCTGTATCAGAGTTAGTAGTTTAAATATTGAGTTTGTTTTTCATAAAGTAAAAGCAAAAATGAACAAAAGAAAAATAATTCATGTGAATAATTAATTTGTTCAGATGTGCTTGTATAGCAGACAAATGAGTGCCTCTGGCAGAGTGAAAATACTCGAAAATACACTATTCATGTACATGTACATGTACTTGTATACATTCCACGAAAAAGGAACTGGTGGGTTTTCAAATGTTGATAACTGTTTCTATCTGAAAGACTGCCCCCCTCCCATGCACATGAAAAATTTGGCAGTAAACAATGTACATGTACACTGTATACAGTATGGCCGAGTTTGGGTTTCTTGTTCTCGCGCTTGAACGGCGGGAACATGACTAAAGAACACTGTTCTTGGAACAGGATCTTACAGCACTTCCTCGTCCGGGTTTTACAAGAACACACAGGAAAACTCATGAGATTTTGATTTTTGAACAGCTGCAAACATGGCAAAAAGTAGAGTGATGGCTTACAAAGCCAGAGACAATAGGAAATTTTACAAAAGTAACATTAATTATTCTCCATAAAACAGAAATGAATGTTCCTGTCTAAACAACAGAATTTAGCCCAGCTATCCAAACATTAACTCTCTAATAATGTACATGTACATGTACATGGACACCACTATGTTGTATGTTGCTTGCCATTAACTACCAGCGATAACCGGTTGTACGTTCCCGGTGTTTGAGCAGCTGACCCAAGAACAACAAATCAAGCTGTTTTTGTGAACATACGTGTACGAGAACAAGCCACACGAACTCAGCCTACATGTTACATGTACATATACATGTACGGTGCACGTATAAGCCACAGTTGATTTGCTGTCCTTGCTCTCTTGAAAAAAAAAAAAGTGTGCACCCCTTCCTAGTTGCCCCCTGAGAAATTTCATCCTGGTCACACTGCTGGCCACATGTAGATCTGGTTTGATTTGTGCACATTATTTTAATTGAAATTTTTATTTTAACTGAAATGTTCCCACTTTGTATTTGCTGTACTAGCTATCTATCTGGCCAAGAGATCAATGAGGAACAAGCAACAGCATGGATTGGAAGAATTTGAAACAGTGAGTGGCTTTTCCTTTCATCCTTAACCCAATACGTTAAATTCACTTGCAATGTTAATTGTATTAAGGGCATTTTTATAGGACATTTTATATGTTATACGTATACATGTACACATTTTTGTTATTTATTTATGTGTTACTAATGGCATTGGAGTAAGAGGCCTTTGAGTCATACCGGTGGTTTTTATTTAAAGTAGACTTTCATTTCTCCTGGCATGTACAGTATCATTGGTTTGTCCCATTGTACCATTGTTGGTGTATTGTGATGTGTATTTTTGTGATACCGAATAAAATAATTATAATAATAATACTGTAATAATAATTAGTGCCGGAGGACATATTAACCTTAACTTCTTTCTGCAAATGTTTCACAGAGCATGTGCAAACATACCGGTACTATGGCAGTGTAGTTGTAGCCTGGGTTTGTGATGATACATCTACATGTACATCCTTCAACATACTTCACGTTGGAGGCCTACCTCCATGATTTTCCTGCTTAAACATGGGTCAACATCATGTTGAACTTTTTTTTTGGATGCCCACTCACAAAATATCCTTCTGTAGCCGTCAAAGTTTCAATTCATTTTGTACACACATGTACGTACATAGAGGTAAGCCATGCAATGAATTTCTTGAAGCAAATACCGGGGTGTAAGAATTCAACTTTTATGCTGATTTCAGCTTTTTATTTTGTTAAGCTTTTTACCCTTAATTGCAGCTTTTTTTTGTACACTTAGTCTTTATAAAACTATAGCAACTTGTTTTTCAACTTTTTCCTACATGTAGCTGTTTTCCAGCTTGTTTACTGTGACCCCTTACACCCCCGTATAGTATTAGTCTGCTGCAGGGTCTCGAAGTGTTGCAAAAAAAGAAGGTACAGTGAGAAGTATTGTACAAATATTATAGAATTAACTCTTAAGATTAACTGTATTTGCAGTTTCCTGACTCAGAAATTCAGAATTTTCCCAGTGAGCCCCGAGCTGGACCAAGAAAGGGTACAATTTTCCTGGCAATGAAGGCTCCTGTGGTAGGAACTGCACTTTGGTGGTTCGCAAATGACTGCACAAGTTATGGTGGTGTCACATGAACACTAACATGGTTCCTTTCAACCTATGAAGGGGGTGCTTTTGCTCAAGGCAGATATATATATGTCCAGCCTTTTTTCACCCGTCACTTTTGGCCCAGATTAGTCCTGTGGCTTGGGCTGGTTAGCTGCAAAACGCTGCTGGCATCTATCATTTGTTCACAGTTCAAATTGGCAAAATCCAACAGGAGTTGGCCACTGCGTGCATTTTTTTGGACCTGGCAGGCACACATAAGCTACACATTATAAGTAGGAAAGCTTTCATTAGCTGATAATGCCACTTAAACCTGCTTATTAAATACATTGTAACATGTGCAATTACAGTTTGAGTTCCCAGAAGCTTTTTATTTTCTTGAAGTCTGACAGGTATTGTAACTCTACTTTCTATTGTAGCGCAGAGTTCCTCAGGGCTTCTTCCCCTTACTCATCTGTGTCCATGCAAAGATCTGCTTTCTCAATGAACATGTACAGAACGTGTTCATTAGGCAGGTGTCTGCTGCTAATTTGATGGGAAGCACTAGAGCTTGTGTAAAACGGCCCTGAGAATAACATCCCAGAACCATAATTTGGTTAGAATCATTCTTCTTCACACTGTACCAGTACATGTACATGTACAGTATGACAGCAAGATGCAGGACATACATGTAGAGTCTAGCATTACCATTATACATTTTATGGAACTTGTATGGAAACGCAACACATGCTGTCACTCAATCTACATGTAAACGTACATGTAAGTCAATTTTATGTGAAATATCATTGGTTCTTTTTTAAACTATACCAGCACTTCAATTTTTTAAAATTTGACCTGATGTTATTAGTATCTCTTGAAATTCCACTGGCAAATATTTTACATATGGGTAGACATACATGTACAGTAGACCTGATTGCAAAACCGTGTGCCTTTTGAAAAAAGAAATCAAATCACCCATAGAATTTAAACACAAACACTAGGTTATTAAAATGTGTGTTGACATCGTGTGAGCATTCCCGTATTATGAGTTTGCATTTGGCCGGGTTGTACACACATGATCTATTACTGTGCCAGCAGTCTTGTGTATAGGCCTATTCTCCTGGCTCCGTTTCCCACTAACTACTAGACAAAGAGAAATGAAGCTGAGCTGTGCTCCTTCCTGTGGAAAAGGAAATGAAAACTAGTCCACAGGTACGCACATTTTTTACCCCTTCTTTGGCTGCCTTAAATTTGACAATTAAGATGATGGATTCCATGGCAGTTGTTGCCTAGAAACCAAGATGAAGCCAGCAGGGGCAGATACTACTGTAATAAATTGAGCCCAGAGGAATTGGACTGATTGTAGCGTGTCTTTGTAGAGAGTAAACATCTTCAGTGACAGGAAACTTGAGACGTAAAGATTGTGACATTATTGCCATTGTATGCAGGAACGGTGGTACTTAAACGCGTTCGTGTACTGTACACACATCGGGATTACTGTACATGTCCTACGCTTGTATGATGTCACTTTCTGCATGCTCTGTGTCTAGTCAGAGTTCCTTCCTAATCGCATGCTTAAGGTGGGCCTTTTTTAAGGGGGGGTGAAACCGTTTCAGAACAAAAAGGTTTATAGATAACTGGGAATGGAGGGCAAATTTAACTCTCCTGTGTACTAGCATGTTCCAGTTTGAACAACTATTGATGCAGTCAAAATCAATGGAATTGCTGACCCCTATGCACTCTGTCTATCCTATGTAGTAATTGAAGCTTAACCACAGAACACTGACATTTTGATTTTGTTGTCAAACCAATAACCATCAAACGGCTTTATTCCAGAAATGTATGATACATTGAAATTGAGTGAAAATCTTCCCTTAAAACCCACATCAAAAATAAATTCCTCCAGCCTTGGAGATCGGGGCAATGAACAAAATGATCCTTTTCCTCAAAAGCCTCATTTGTTTTGATAAAGGATGCATCAGGAGTTGATGAAGCAGAAGAGGGTTTGTGGTACATTTACATGTATGTACAGTACTTTGTTCCATGGTTGGTTGATGGGCAGCATGATGCTCTTTGAACAAGGCCAAGCACTGGTCTTCCTGTAAATCTCATTGCACGGGATAACTGATTTCTCTCTCAGGGCTTTGAGGGCATCTTCCTTAAATATTAGCTGCAGACACAGGGGAGCACTTAGCTACATTGTAGACCACATTAATTACCGTCAAGCCGGGTAATGATGAGACCCACAGGGGGTGTAGTATAGGGTACATGTATGTGTAAAGTAAAATTATTGCTTGACCCTGCCTTGGGCTGTATCGCCAATTCATGTTTCCTTTCCTGATCGTGTCACAAGTAAAAAACATGAGTCTACTCAGGTGCGCTCTGTGCAGTATATCCATGAACCTACAGGTGCACGTGTCTGCACACGTGCGTGTGAATGCATCATTACTTCAGTCCAACCAGTAAATTCGATCCCTCACAAGATTACCATGGGCTACAAAGTTCCTGCTTTAGTCTCGATTTCACCGATGGCTGCACTGATCAGACATCTTTTGGTTTAAGATCTAGAGGGATTATAGAAAGAAAGGTCAGGATCAACTCCACGGATTTAGGGCAGCTGAGGGCAGAGTTGACAAAATTATGGATGGAAAAATGGTCCTCAGTGCCTGAGAAAGTGGAGGGAAGCCATTTGAAAAATGGCTACAAGTAGGTTTGGGAATCATCCTTTTCCCTCTGTGTGTCAATTATCCAGGTTACAGTGGCAAAGAGAGTTGATACGCACTTAAAAGCCGTCACCTGTTAAGGAAGATGGTACGATTTGTGCACATTAGAAAGAGATTACATGTACATGTGATGTACACGTACATGTACATGTATGTATGCACAGTGTGTCCGTCAGCTCTGGGAGTATTGCACATGGCCTTGTTCATGTGGGATTTTCATGCAAAGATGGAAAATGGACTCAATTTTTTCCACTGAGTTTCTTAACTGTTTAAAATTTTTATGATGGCATATTGACTAAAGCTTTGGAAAAACTCCTTTACTGGTGTCTGCTAGTTTTACATAAAAATTCACCAATGAAACATTATGCATAAAAATGATTTGACCCATCAAAAGAGATATTATTCATTACACTAAAACAGCCCCATTTTCTTCTTTATGCTGAGTTAAATTTTTTGTATAGTTTCATGAGGCCTATACTGCTCATTACATTTATGACAAAATTTCCCTATACATTCCAGCTTTTTCAGGACAGACCCATTGAATCAGGTAGAAATGATGATATAACGCGAGTCACAACCTACATACATGTATACATGTACATAGAAAAGTTATCGCTATTCAAACCCCAGGGATGTTGAGGTTGACTATTATAAACCCCCTCCTTTAATGTTAACCAAACCAACTTATAACAATAACCCTAGGTTATCATGCTGTAATTAAAATGTAATTAAAGCCTCATTATCTATTGAAAGAATTGTTTGTTTGTGTTATTTTATGGCAAGTGTCTGTAGGTACATGTAGCTGTACACAATAAGTGGAATTTTCAACTTCTGCCTCGGTACATTTCAGTACATGTGTGGTCATAACAATTTCAAAATGGACTCAAATGTAATGCGTGTCACCGTGAAAATGCCCATGTGGACATTACAAGTTAAAGTTACCCTGCACTGTTACATGCACTGAAGGGATGAAACACAGGCTACAAACAGCTCAACAACCCAGACTGTGGGCCTGTTTGATTCACACAGATCTGGATCGTGACCAGTGATGATTCTCACGCTGGTTGGCACCATCTGTGAAGCGAGATGTGGTCTCTGTAAACCAATGACAAATCACTGGTCGTGATCCAGATCTGTGTGAAGCAAACATGGCCAGTGTTTTCAATGATGATGGTGCTCTGCCTTCATTGTCAACACCACTCAATGTTCTCATATTACATGTACCTACTACCGGTACACGCAAGTGCAGGGTTAGTCAATTACGGTGATAAATGAGGCCATTTGTGAGGACTTTTAGTGTAAGGATGAGGAGACTGTCATTTTTTCCAATAGCACTGAGCTGTACTTTATGTGCCAGCCCATGGTACCGTATAATTTGTGTAACACCTTCACAATTAACTACAAATTTTCTCATTTTGACTTTTTAAAGAATTGGAGCTTTAAAAGATGATTTTTTGTGAAATATGAGGTGAAAATGAGAAATCAAAGCATCCTATTCTCAACTTCCTCAAGAACACAAAAACAATTATGAATTAACAGCAACATTTCACAGATTTGAATTGAGACCAAAATTAACCTTGCACACTGTCCGTCTCTAACTCAGTGTATTATTCATTTCAGATGCTGCTAAATCATTTTAATCCATCCACAGTAACTTGAATGTTTTTTTCCGAATTGAAGCACTAAAACACTACATCACCACGCAAACAAACAATTTCTTTTTCAAATAACATTTTTAATCAGTTAAAATTACAGTTATCTCTCTTGTCAACTCCTCCGATGAAACTTAGCATTTTTCCTGCATAGTTTTCTAAATAATTCTGAAAGTTGATAATTTGTCCAAAAGTAAACCATTAATTTTTGATAAAAGTTTCCCACCCAAAGCAAAATGCAAATAAGTTGCTTAAAACACTTAAATCACAAACATTTTGGAAAAGCCCTTGCATATTTCTCAATCAAAGAAAAATTTCTGTAGGCCAACTAAATGTTCCACACAAGATTCCAAAAAGGGATAGAGTTGTCTATGCCTGACAGATCTTTGATGCAGTACGAACTAGGGATTGTTGTTCATCCCCTGCAAACTCTTTACATTAATGCAGTACTTACGAACTAGAGAGTTGGCTAGGGATAGACGATTCTATTCCTAATTCATGATACATTAGAGAGTTAGCTAGGGATAGACGATTCTATACCTAATTCAGACTACATTAGAGAGTTGGCTAGGATAGACGATGCTATCCCTAGTTCATACTACATTAGAGAGTTAGCTAGGGATAGACGATCCTATACCTAGTTCATACTACATTAGAGAGTTGGCTAGGGATAGACGACCCTATCCC